TAGTACATTGTCGTCGACTGAAATCTTATGTAGTATATTTTTGTCGACTGAAACCTTATGTAGTACATTGTTGTCGACTGAAACCTTATGTAGTACATTGTTGTCGACTGAAACCTTATATGTAGTACATTGTTGTCGACTGAAACCTGATGTAGTACATTGTTGTCGACTGAAACCTTATATGTAGTACATTGTTGTCGACTGAAACTTATGTAGTATATAAGGTTTCAGTCGACAAAAAAAGAATTAATCACCCCCTTCGTTTATTGTATACATGTATTTCATAAATTGCTCATTTTAATTTTAAGAAGGAAACGAATGTTTATTGAATTGTGAATAAAATCTTTCAGAGTATGATAATGATGGTAAAATGACATTGTTAGAAAATATAAAAATGTTGACGTCCACATTGAGATTTTGACACAATACGACACAATGTTGAAATAGACATCCAACATAAATATTTCCTTGTAGCTTGTGCGAAAGAAGAAATCGAGATTTTTCGTCTAATATTTTCATACATGATAATAATCGTACACAAGACGATGCGGAGGGGCGAAAAAAGTTTGATTTACTTCAAATCCAACATCGAGGTAAGTCAAGATATGATACTGGCCTACAGGTAATCAATAATATTGCAACCTTATAAAGGTTAATATATTTTACTGTACACGTGACAGCCTTCAAGGCATGGGCAGCGCCAGAGAATTTCACAAGTCAAAATAATGCTTTTATACGTCTGGTATTGTATATACGCGTACTTAATAGGGGGGGGGGGGGGGGGGGGGGGGGAGAAAAAATAAGATGAAAAACAAAAGCCTGAAGAAGGTTGCCGCTCTTATCAAATTTTACCTTTTTGTTTTTTTCCAAGAAATATTCCCCCTAGACTTTAATTTCTATTATCTTGCAGCCCACATTATACTTTCTTCGCGCCACGTACTATAATCTTCGTGCATAACAATCCTCAAGCACAGGTTATTGTGTTTCATTATGCATCACGTATAATGCTTCAGAGATTCTTCCCTCTCATCTCCCATCTCAACAACTTGCCCGTATTCTCCCGGGCCCTCAAATCTAGCCCCCTCCCCGTACCAGGATTGTTGAGGGGCGACACACAGGTCTTCATTGTCAAAATTCTGTTTTTACATTTCGTATTGTCATGTTTTGTAAATGCAAGTATAAGAGAAAGAGAAATAGAGAGATAGGGAGAAAAAGGGAGTGCCTGATGAAAATGTAATAAGATTTCATCTTTTTTATGTTTTTGTTTTGTTTATGAGAAATATTCCCCCTTGACTTTAATTTCTATTATCTTGCAGCCCACAACACCCGATACTTACCCTGCACCAAATATTATTTGTTCTTAAATCTCCGTGCCTATAAAACTCCACAGGCACACTTTATTTTATTCCATTACGTATCACGCATAATGCTTCAGCATATACCCCTTCGGCAATCTCAACCCCTTGCCCCTATGCTCCTGGGTCCCCTAATCTCCCCCCTCATCAATCCGTTACCCAAGGCTAGGGGTATAGGGATGTTCCCTGAAAGAGATAAGCTTCAATCAATCAGCCCGTTACAAGATCGCGCGTTCCTGCGGCGCCCGGTAATATCCGCCTGTGCAGTTCCTCACAAACTTGCTCGCCTTCTTATCCATTTCATATTTTGACCTGAATCTTTGAGGGGGTTCTGTATCTTCTGGCACGATTTCTTTTTTTCTGTTCTTCCGAGGGTTGTGCGGTAAAAAGAGATAATGGCTTGCCCTACTTGTGCGCGCAGTCCTATCGATCTTTGTACTCAATTCGAGTACACTTTGATCTTCCTTCTTTCCCCTCCCTCTCACTCCGTCCCTCCCACTCCTATGTCTTTTTTTTCATAACTCTCTCTTCCACATCTTTCTCTCTTACATCTTTCTCTCTTTCATCTTTCTCTCTTACATCTTTCTCTCTCACATCTTTCTCTCTATCATCTTTCTCTCTTACATCTTTCTCTATTACATCTTTCTCTCTTTCATCTTTCTCTCTTACATCTTTCTCTCTTACATCTTTCTCTTTCATCTTTCTCTCTCACATCTTTCTCTCTTACATCTTTCTCTCTTTCATCTTTCTCTCTTACATCTTTCTCTCTTTCATCTTTCTCTCTTACATCTTTCTCTCTTTCATCTTTCTCTCTTTCATTTCACTCTTACATCTTTCTCTCTTACATCTTTCTCTCTTTCATCTTTCTCTCTTACATCTTTCTCTCTCACATCTTTCTCTCTTTCATTTTTCTCTCTCACATCTTTCTCTCTTACATCTTTCTCTCTTTCATCTTTCTCTCTTACATCTTTCTCTCTTTCATCGTTCTCTCTTTCATTTCACTCTTACATCTTTCTCTCTTACATTTTTCTCTCTTACATCTTTCTCTCTTACATCTTTCTCTCTTTCATCTTTCTATCTTACATCTTTCTCTCTTTCATCTTTCTCTCTTACATCTTTCTCTATTACATCTTTCTCCCTGACATCTTTCTCTCTTTCATCTTTCTCTCTTACATCTTTCTCTCTTACATCTTTCTCTCTTTCATCTTTCTATCTTACATCTTTCTCTCTTTCATCTTTCTCTCTTACATCTTTCTCTATTACATCTTTCTCTCTTACATCTTTCTCTCTTACATCTTTCTCTCTTACATCTTTCTCTCTTACATCTTTCTCCCTTACATCTTTCTCTCTTACATCTTTCTCTCTTACATCTTTCTCTCTTACATCTTACTCTTTGACATCTTTCTCTCTTTCATTTCACTCTTACATCTTTCTCCCTTACATTTTTCTCTCTTACATCTTTCTCTCTTACATCTTTCTCTCTTACATCTTTCTCTCTTTCATCTTTCTCTCTTACATCTTTCTCTCTTTCATCTTTCTCTCTTACATCTTTCTCTCTTTCATCTTTCTCTCTCACATCTTTCTCCCTTACATCTTTCTCTCTTTCATCTTTCTCTCTTACATCTTTCTCTCTTTCATCTTTCTCTCTTTCATCTTTCTCTCTTACATCTTTCTCTCTTTCATCTTTCTCTCTTACATCTTTCTCTCTTTCATCTTTCTCTCTTTCATCTTTCTCTCTTTCATCTTTCTCTCTTACATCTTTCTCTCTCACAGCTTTCTCTCTTACAGCTTTCTCTCTTACAGCTTTCTCTCTTTCATCTTTCTCTCTTTCATCTTTCTCTCTCACAGCTTTCTCTCTTACATCTTTCTCTCTCACAGCTTTCTCCCTTACATCTTCTCTCTAACACATATACCTTTCTCTCTCACAACTTTATCTCTTACATTTTCTCCCTTACATCGTTTTGTCTCGCAGCTTTCTTTATCTCATTATCTTCTCTCTCTCACATCTTTCTCTCAGCCATCAGGCCTCTCACCAACATTAACGTGTGATTTTTTGGCTCGCCAGTATTATAAACAGGATAGTTGATATTCATCCACCAGATAACAGCACCCCCTTAAAACATGCCTATGATTTCAGCGCCCCCATGCAATTATTTATAGTAAAGGCATAACAAATTGCATATTATTTGATTTCAATTATTTATTTCAACATCCCTGCAATTTCATTGCCCCCCCCCCCTTTGTTATGTATCTATAGATACCTCACAGTCGCGACCGATGTTACTGTCAACGAATTTGAGTCAATTGAAATTGAAAGATCATTTCTGTTTAAAAACAAAAACAAAACGATGGAGTACGTTTAAAACAATAACAAAAAGCGTTTTAAACAATGAAATAAGAAGGTTTTATCACAACCCTGCACATAATAATAATACTCTCTCCGTCTCTTTTCACGTATGTCTTCTATCTTCCACTCCTATCTCCATTTCCTTTTCTTCTCTGCTGTACGCTACATCAAGGACGAAGATTGGATCACCTCGAAGCATTTTTTTCGATAAACGTTTCATGTACCTCTTATACAACATATTTCATTTCATTTCAGACTGATCATTGTTGTCATCACGTGACTGATTCACATAATATTGTATTCTTTGAAGAGCGTTTTCAAGCAATCTATCTCCTTATTTTATCTCACGTTCTTTTTTCTTTCCTTTATCTCTCCCTGCGCTCTCAACTCTCCTTACTTTCTTTTTTCCCCTGTTCATTTTTTAAGGGGGGGGGGATACATGCCCCCTGAAAAATCATAACAAGTGGGGAAATATTTTTCTAAAAAAAATTTCTAATGATACTTAACACATAGCGACGGTTACTTTGCCATGACAAGAAAGATAATTGTAATTGATAATATTTGAGTTTCCAATCTTGTTTTAAAGGGTTCCGATGTTTATAACAATCACTTATTGCTTTCTTAGCTGTCAGGTAAAATAACCACCACGATCACTATATTTAAAGTTATAATAACATTTTTGTTACTGTGAATTATAGAGGAACAACTACCCTAAGGTATCTAATGAACTTTGAAGTATTTATTGTAAATGGTTTGTTATGTATGACATATAAATGCCTGGTTGCCATCGACCCATCGTCTGTGGGCTGCATACAGTGTGTATAGACTTCTGCGTGAGACATAGGGAGTTAACATCATTCAAATGTTTTACACTCTCTTCTTTAACATGCACTAGTAGGGTGTGGCTTTCAATGCAAAGGATTGGTAGCTCCTCTAAAAGACTAGCCAATAAGAGCAAAGTGTCTAGTATACCCACAGGGCACACCTACCATGCCAGTGATTTGAAAGTGGAACCTCCAATGCCTTGGAATAGGTCAATAATCTAGTTAGAATGTTATGCTACATGGTTTTAAATGGATTTAAAGTTTAAAACAAAAAGATTCGGCATATATGAGAGCAACTTCTGAGTTTTAAAACGATGTAGGCTGTTATTTAGTTACAATGTCATACGATTGCTTTAAAAACGTTCAAATCTAGTTTCTTACTCTAGTTGCCTTTACCGTCAACCGAAATACATGTCCGAAATTTTTCTTTTCCTTTTTGATTTGTCGTTCTGGAGATACTATAACCCATTATTGATTGGGTAAATAGGTCGCCAGTTTCTACCCCAGTTTCATGGAGAGTTTTCAGAATCTGTAATTTCGCCAATCTGATGGATCGACTATGAATAAATCATCCAAAATTAACGTCAATGCTTCATCCGTAAGTTTGATGACTTTTTCATTAATCCTTATTTCATTATGGTGATGTTGTAACTCAGGAAATACGTGCAATGAAAGACTTACAATTTCATTGCAGTCCCATGCACCAGTTTTGGTGTACTGTAAACCATAGTCTAAATGTTTAGGTTTTAAATCCGATATCCATCTCGTCTCCGTCTAGTCTAGACCGAAAGCTTCAGTCTCTGATATCGATGGTTGTTTGGCTGAGACAAAGTCTGGCTGGCTCCATTGACCGCGCATCCTATGAAGTACCTCGTACGGGATACTAATGGCACTCCTGTGCTGTGGTGCATTACAAGCAAAAAGTTGCAATCAATTGCAAATCCCCAAAATCAAACGTAAGTCTTGCGATTAATTGCAAATTTGCAATTGATCGCAACTCAACTGCCTTGCAAGGTACATAGAACTTTAGCTTACATTTAGCGCATTCGCTGTGCTGTGGTGCATTACAAGCAAAAAGTTGCAATCAATTGCAAATCCCCAAAATCAAACGCAAGTCTTGCGATTAATTGCAAATTTGCAATTGATCGCAACTCAACTGCCTTGCAAGGTACATAGAACTTTAGCTTACATTTAGCGCATTCGCATAACCTTCATCCGATCTCAGCGAATTACAAGTAGCCTCATTGTTCTAAATTGGCGCTGACAAGGCATGTGGAACTTTAGCTTAGTCCTACCTAGATCTACATTGATTTAGCGCATGCGCATTTAGTTGAAACATTTGCTTTTAAATATGACACTCTAAAATCATACTGTTGCCGTAAATTACCATTAATAATGAATAAGTCCTGTAAATTCCAGCTGATTCACAGCTCAAAACCTTAGAAAAACTGAAGAAACTGCCGCTGATGTTTCTTTGTTGCCTCCTATTTCGCGCGCATTTGCAAAGCATTTAGTTTTAGCTTTTCAGGGTTATTTTTTGTGAAAGGAGTGAAAATTATTTTAAATTGTTGATCTGTTTATATTATAGTTGGTTGGCTTGAAGGCTGAGCTTTTCAAGAAGCAGGAGCAGCTAAAGAGAGATCGTCTTCAACCTGGAGGCAGCACTTCATCCAATAAAAACAGACATGGAGAATCTAAGGTAACTTTGGATATCTTTCCAGTTTCCAACTTGTAAAGACTTTTGAACATATTTAAAGCATAAAAATAAAGTCTTGTGTCTTTGAAATTACCTTATTATCGGATGTAGTACTGAAAATATGCATAGATCAATTTTCATTTCCCTTCTCTATTGGTTTAATCTGATGATTTTGCAATGTGGCAGTGTCGGTGTGTGATGTGCACATTGCTTCAATACCAAACTGATCTAATCTTTCCAAGGATGATAATCTATTTCATCACAGCTTATCAAGCCTGGCTTTAAAAGAGATTACAGATAATAATGTGGACTTTAAGAGTAAGAGTAAAAATAAAAACAAGCTAAAAATGCACTGACAATTCTGTCATACACCTTTATTAAAGTGACTTCATGGCATGTTAGGTTGCTAAAATGATACTTTGAATGCAAGAAAAGATACATGGACTCTACTTCAGATACATCATTTCAAAATAATTATGAAATGTATTTGAAGTCACAATTTCCTTATTAATTCACCTTAATTCTTTTGTAATGTGATTGTTTTTTATGATGTTTGTTTTATTTTCTTGTCTTTATCATAATTCCTATTCTGAATCTGAAATCTGAAATAATACTCCTGATGGGCATTTCACAAAGATCCTAAGTTAAACCTATCTTTACGTTGGACTTCAAAATTATGGAAAGCTGTTAGCCTCTTTGAAAATATTTTGTAAAAGTTATATTAAGGCATAAAATGTTGATTCAAATCATTCATATTTTCTATTACAAAGGAGATTTCATGTTCTTGATGTGAAATTTATGAAATGTCTAAAATACTTTTGAATATATTTTATTTTAAGGCTACAAATTGCTCTCCATAATGTTGAAGTACAACTAAGAGTTAAATTCAACTTAGGATCTTTGTAAAATACCCCCCCCCCCTGATGGCCTAAAACAAGTCAGAATTTGTCAGTGATGTGTCTCCAACAATTGTATTGTCAATATATTTTTGGTCCAAATCAGAAGCCGTCCATCTGGAACAAGAAGAATGCTGGAGTGCAAGGAAGAGCTGAGAAGGATCTAGAGCAGCTGGCTGAGGAGAGGGATGAGCTTGATAATGCAAGGTATGATACTCTCATACAGAAGGGACAGAGACTGAACATAGGGGACAAGTATTTAATGGTCCAGTAACTACTGAACGAATCATTTACACCGTCTTTTGCAAAGATTACTCACTGCTGCCTCAACAAAAGTGGTGAATTCCTGTTAGTCCAAATTAGTCTATTCCAATCAACACCCAGCCCGTCTACTATCAATGACCATTTAGGCTAATAGCCATTTGGTCTTATCTCCAATAAGTCTACTAACTATTTTGTCTGTTGCTCATTTAGTCTAATTTGTAGTTGGTCTAATTCCCAGTTTGTCTAATGCCTATTTTGTCTGCTATCCATAAGGTCTAATATTCATTTGATGATTATTAGTTGAGTATTCCATATGGATATGGATTTGGAGACAAAATGGGCAATAGACCAAATAGGAAGTAGGCTCATTGGAGATTAGACCAAATGATTATTAGACGATGTGGATAGTAGATGGGCTGGGTGTGGACAAAATGGCAATAAACTAAAAACAAGCTTCCAGTTTTCTGTTTCGAGTCTTATTTATGTGACTATGTCTAAAATTTGCTCACAGATTAGTTTCTTACAACAGCAAAAGATGTCTAAAATTGAAATAGCATTCAATCCCAATAATAGGTATGAGCAATTTAGTTTAAAATGAAAAAGACTCATTGATGTTGTTACAGTTAAATACAAACACTGTTTTTGTATACATGTACAGATGATTTACTTTTCTTATTTTTTTTACTAAAGATATAGATTGACCTGATTGCTGTAAAATTAACACCTTTTGTTTTATCTTTTATAGGAATAAGTTGGAAGCCAAGGCCATGTTTTATGAGAAGATGACAAAGGAAGGTTACCTCCCAGGTAGGTGTCTTTTTAATTTGAACGGTTCCTGATTCTATTTTAAGCTTGCTTTTAATTTACATTTAACTCAAGCCCAACAATTTTATTTCATTAAATGGGATGTTTGTGAATATATATTATCTTCAGTTCATCATTAAACAAATGATATATAAAGTTTTGATGCTTGGTTTACGCAGAAACAATGATGATGATACAAGGTATTGTTTATATTTGTTGATTTACTCTCTATTCTTCCTACATGACTTAATATGACCCTGTCATTTTACAAGTCTGTCTGTCTCTTTTTCCCCCTGTATGTTCCGTCAGCCTCTTTGATCTCTTTCTGTCACTCCTTTTCTTTCTTTAATTATTTGTGGGGGTCTATTCCTTATAAAGAGTTGTCCATTTTTTTCTTTTGTTGAAATACACCATCAGTCACCGCTGTCTTAATTTCACAGATTATCTGTTGGTTGGTATTTCTCTTCTTTCTTTTTTGTTTGCCCACTCCTCCCTCTCTCTCTTTTCCTCTCTCCGTCTCCCTCTTTCTCCCTCTTCCTCTCTTTCTCCCTCTTCCTCTCTTTCTCCCTCTCTCTCTCTTTCTCCCTCTCCCTCTCTATCTCTCTCCCTCTCTCCTTCTCCCTCTCTTACTCCCTCTCCCTTCCCTCTCCTTGTCTCCCGACTTATCTTTGCATAAATTTGTGTAAATTCACCTCTCTCATTATATATTTTGATATCACAATGTTTTGATTATCAATCTATTGAGCAGACAGTGATTCAGAAGAGAGGTTTCTGGTTGATTTTGAGAGGAAGGCCTTGGATAAAAAGGAAGCATTCAAGCACAGAGTCGAAGAACTTGAAAATGAAGAAGATATCCCACCTCCTGCTAATCCAGACGAAGAATGGTAAGAAATCAATCTTAAAGCCTGTCTGTACTAGTTTTGCCAGGAAGAATAAGACCTCCCTGCAAGGTCACTGACAGGTGGTCATCTCATCAAATCAGCTCTCAATTAACATGAGAAAGAGGGGATCATGGGGGACCAACAGGCACCACTTAGGCATTGTTTGCTATAAAGAGGGCACAAGTAGCTACATGTATAAGTAGTGCAGTGGGGCTTTAAAAGAAACAAAATCTTTGGTTTATTGCCGTTTGGTCTACAACCAGTTTGTCTACTACCCAATTGGTCTATACAAATATAGTAGCCTATTCACTATCCACATGGTCTATTAATAATTTGGTCTACTTATTATTTAGTCTAATGACCATTTAGGCTAATAGTCATTTGGTCTAATTTCCATATAGTCTATTCTCCCATTAGTCTAAAACCAATTTGGTCTATTGCTCGTTTAGTCTGATTCCCAGTTTGTCTAATGCCCACTTTGGTCTACTATCCATACGGTCTAACAATCATTTAATCATAAAAAATAATACGTATCAAATTATTATTATACCTTATGGATGGTAGATGAAATAGGCATTAGACAAACTGGGAAGTAGAGTAAATGAGTAATGGACCAAATGGGTAGTAGACAAACTGGTTGAAGATCAAACAGAAATTCACCACGGCCAGTTAACCTACTGAACTATCCCCAGGAAAGTTACTCCTGAAGTTATCATATTTATCAAATCTGAGATCTGTCTTGAAACTCTCTGTAAGGTTTGCAGATTTAGCCAAGGAGGGGCACACAAATTTGCCTGGGGAGGAGGGGGTAGCAGGGTTTGTAGAGGTGCCGTAGTCGAGTGGTTTAAGCACTTGACTTGAAAAAAAAAGGTCTCGGGTTCGATCCCCGACATTGCACTGTCAGTTGGCAAGGCATTAATCTACATTTGCCACTCTATACCCCGGAGAGAAATGGGGACCTGGTAGGATGACAAAAGTCTTTGTGTTACTGTTAGTAATTTCCATATGCTGTCACAGTTAAGTGGTAGGAAGACTCCCCATGGAGTGGAGATGGTGCACATTGTGAGAGAATGAATCTGATGCCTGGGGTAATAGCTGTAAAGCGCTTAGAGAAGATTTTTTTCTATTAAGCGCTGTATAAATCCAGATTATTATTAGCACATGTCCACTTTAACCTCCCCTAAAATTTGCCAAGTGCTGATATCTACAATGTATATGTAGCTGTACCTTGCCACAGTGCTAAGCTTCACTTTCCATCTTGCATTTAATTTGCTGCAGGGTGAACTACACTGACACTCTTGGGCGGTCAAGATGCTGCATGAGGAAGGACCTTCCTAATCTGATCTCCATGGACAAGAAACTCAACCCTCAAGTCTATGAGTAAGTCAAGAACTACTACTTTACAATCAACTTTTTTTTCTTTTTTCCGTTATTTTTCTATTCCTTCATCTTTTTCATCTTTTCTTCTTCTTTTTATTTCTTTTATCATATCAACTTCACTAGTGAAAGTCTTATATATTATATCAGTTGCCTATTTTACATTGGACTATTTGCATGTACCCAACTCCATCCAACCCTAGGCTGAAAACAATACATATATACCCTAAACCTAATATAAATCTAAACCTCAATTTTAACTCTAAAAATTGTTCTTTTTGCATTTTTTTTTTAGGCCTAGGATTTCTGTGGATGCATTACTTTGTCCCTTGTAAAAAGGCATAAAAATGGAAAGGAAAAAACATGATTTTTCCAAACTCTGACCATTCTTTGCCTCCAGCTACTCAACAAGTTGCAGCTTTTGCATTATCAAAATTCATAGTAACAATTTGATGATGATGGATAATGATGATAATGATTGTTTTACCCGACTGCTAAGAATTATGCTTGTAAGTAAACATCTAGGGGACCAATGTACTCTCTGAGGGACTTGGTAATGAGGATTAATGCCGTACCAAAGGGCATGGGCTCATTTTCTTGGTTTCTCTAAACAATTTTTAGTTAAGTTTAGTGATGGTTATTTTGCCTGACTGAAAGCATAAATGCATGTTAGTAATCAACCAGATGACCTACGGCTTTAGGTCAACTCCAAGAGACCTGGTAATGAGGATTAATGCCTTACCAAAGGGCACTAGTGCATCGACTTGGTTCAAACCCAGGTCAGTGGATTACGAGACCACTGCTCTACCAACTGAGCTATTGTGCCTCCTCACAATGAGATGCTTATAACTGTATTCAATTTCAACTTCAATAGTGTAGAAATCTGACTCTCACCAGTTATTTCCCTTTTCTGTGGTCACGTCTCTAGCGAACCAGAGAAGAAACAGGTTGAGGAGAAGAAAGATGATCTACCCGATCTGATGTCTAACGACATGTACCGTGAGATGCTACGCAAGAAATGGGAAGAGGAGGAAGAAGAAGCAGCGAAGGGACCTCTCGTCTCCACCCACTTTCAAAATGTCAAATACGATGGTGAGCAGGATGTGCACTAGATTGTTTTAAATGGGGAAGTTCACCTTGATTTTAATGAAAGTAGAAAAGTGGGAGAAACAAATTAGTGAAATTTTGACCAATATCCGATTAAAAATAGATAAATTAGATTAGATAGTTGTGGTTATTTTACCTGACTGCTAAGAAAGCATAGATGCTTGTTAGTATTAAAGCAACCAGAGGACTGATGGCTTTAGGTCCTCTCTGAGGGACCTGGTAATGAGAATTAATGCCTTACCAAAGGGCACTAGCGCATCGTCTTGGTTTCGAACCCGGGTCGCCGGATTACGAGACCACTGCTCTACCAACTGAGCTATCGCGCCTCCTCAATAGGAAAGTTAAGAATGCTTGAAAGTTAAGAATGTTTGAAGTCGTCGTCAGTCATCAGGCGACACTGTGACATTTTCTTTAGGGAAACTAACTGAAGTTTTTAAGTACAGGGCTAATGGGAGGGGAGCTTGCAAGATACACCAACGTGTTGCCAATTTGTCTTTGATTGATCCTACCTTCACAAATTTGTAAGTGTATTATATTTAATCGGTTTTTGCTCAAACTTTCTCTTACCTGTTTCTCTCATTTTTCTGCTTATATTGAATCTTAGCATCAGGGTGGACTTCCCCTTTAATTGTCTGCACAAGTGTGTGAAATTAGTTTGCAGCAGTTTTGTAAGGCAACTTGTTGATTATTATGCATTTTCATAGTTCATTTGATAGAAACATTCCTTGATGTCTAACAAATGAACCCCATTTTAAATTCAGTAAACACTTGCCTTTTATCCAATGATAATTGGATGGTTCAAACTGGCTATGGCACTGAAATGGTTGCATTTTTTGTTGGAAAGGTAATGAATGTTGAAAAAGGAAATATCCCATTCAGTAAACATCTAAACATTTGCAACTTATTCTCCTACTCGGCATGTTGCTGAAATTGCTGTTAATTTCAGAGGACTTGTTTTGTATTTTCATGTCGTAAAAGTGAAGTCTACTCTTGGTGACTGACAACAACTGTTATTGGGTAAACACCAGAATGGTGTCAAATTCCCCATGAAAACCCACTACTTATGCGTCTTTCAATCATGTCTGATATTTTTTGTTCATTGACAACTGTTTCTCTCCGTTTTTGTTTTCAACCGTGTAGAGGTTCGTGACATGGGTGTAGGATACTTTGATTTCTCTAAGGATAAGAATCAAAGGAACCAACAGATGGAGACATTGCAACTACTCAGAGATGAGGTAAGTCTCTTACAAATATAAATGTTGTTCATCACATTGACTTTCATTATTTCATTATTTATGTATCAGACTCAACAGTTTCTTTGACTTTGTTCACAATTTTTCTTCCATTGTTATCTATATATTTGTATTTTTATTTTAATTTTAAATCCAACCTCAAATTTTTTGCAATAAAGAAATAATAATAAAAATAATAATAATATTAATAACAATGATAACAATATTAATAATAATAATAGTATCAATATTAATAAATTCAATGATTTCTTATAGACTTTGGGTCAGAGGGAGAGAAGAGAGAAATTAAAGCTGAAGAGAAAAGCAGCCATGAAAGCCAGACTGGAGAAGATCAAGGAGAGGAAACGAGCGAGGGGAGAAGTGATTGAGGATGAGGAAGAGGAGGAGGAGGAGGAGAAGAAGAAGGAAGATGACAGACTGACTGAAGCAGCAGAGGAAAGCAAGCCAGTGAAGGAGAGCAAAGTCAGAGAATGGGATGTTGGAAAAGGTAACTTCATCAATCAAACCAGAGCCATCTATACACAGAGTTTGGCCAACCCGGTTCGAGTTTGACACAACATGGGGACTACTGCTTCGTTAGGCAAGCACAAAACAAAAGAATATACACCATGTTGTGACCCAGTGAAACCAAGTTGGCCAAACTCTGTGTATAGATGGCTCTGGGTACTACTATCTCTATCTAAGCAATGTATTCGGCAAGCACAAAACAAAAGAATATAGGCCATGTTGTGACCCAGTGAAACTGAGTTGGCCAAACTCTGTGTATAGATGGCTCTGAATCGAACCATTTTGGTGAATTTCAATAATTGCCATAAGTATTTGAATTTTATACACAGTCGGAGTTCACACAATGTCTTATATTTCTGGCTATGGTGTATGAAGAAAACCCTGCCTGTCAGATATAGAGAGGAAATGATTATCCTGGGTGGCGTTTCACAGAACTTGTCATCAGTGACACATGACAGTTCTTGTTATAAGCTACTGAAATCCTTGCTTCAGATTGGTTATCAGCAGATTTGTCACTGATTTTTGTCATTTGGTCATTGAAAAAAGGCTTTTTGAAACGGGGCCCCGAAGTGTATTTTCTAGTATAAACGGTGTAGTTGTGATCACCCAATAGACAGGTTTAATAACATATTCAAATTGTATACATACTGGTTAAAGAAAGGTTGTCTTGACAACCCATAAGCTTGCCCAAATTTCTCCTGACATGGCAACTAATAATGTATGTAGACTGGATTCCAAGTATTGTAAATGGAAAACCTTGTCACTAGGTCCCCAGGAAAGATACACCCATAAGTTTGAATAATTATGTCAGTAAACTGGTCTATTGAGGCAGGTTTTTTTTGTTTTTGTTTGTTTGTTGCTTTAGTACAGGAATTGAGCAGAATTATAGGAAAAGAAAGAAGGTTTTTCCTATGTTTCATATCATGGGAAGATATTGTACTTGATAGCAAGAGCCTTTGTAGGGATGGCAAAAAGCATATATAAAAAATCAAAGCTTAGCATCATATAACATTTGTTTGTAATACTAGAAATGATCTGCTCTGTTATTAAATGATAAAATGATATGTGGCTAGCGATTCACAGGATACATATTTCAGGCTTCATTTATCGTATTATGTGATATAAACTTGTATAACCAAGAGAGTATTTTTTGTCACTTTATAGAACCAGTGTCTGCCTGGGAACAGAAGCTAACGAACATCAGAGAGGAGAGACCGTCTGAATTTGCTCCTCCGTCCATCTACACCGAGTCTGGCCGTAAGAGAGGTCAAAATCAAACACCTACCAGTAGATACCCTCCACCAAAGGACTACAACTCATCCTTCACAAATCCAACCAAGCAAAAGACCGTTAACAAGCCTAGCAGTGCAACATCATCTGAATTTGCCCCGCCAGAGGTTACCCCGTCCGAGTTTGCCCCGCCCGATAGCTACAAGGATCCATCTCTCGAAACACGGCATCGAAGCAAAATTAATTTGCCGCCACCGAGGGACTATTCATCCATGTATGGAAGAGCCAAGGAAAAGACTGGGGAGAAGTCTAGCACTGCCACGTTGTCACAGTGGAACAAACCAAGCGGGTGGTCAGATTCGAATCCACCATTCACTGCTGGAGGGGGGTTGGGTTTTAGCAGCAGTGGAGGGACTGCAGGAAGGACTGGATCAGGGGGTGTATCCACACCTACAGTGCAGGCAGCTGCTAGTGATGTTAATAAAGGGATGGAGGACGGTGAGAGTGCCATAGCCTCGGCCTTGTCATTTTTCAGGAAAAATGCAGGGAAGTAAAAGAAGTATTTTTCTTGACCAATATGGAGTGGATTCAATAATACAGGCAATGTCATTGGTCACATGATGCCACATGATCATGCTTGATCTTTCCTACGCTGCAAAACAATTACTTCAAAGAGTGATAACTCACGGCCATGATGCAAATAGTTGTGCATCTGGCACCATCAAATAAACTGGTTTACTAACCTATTCATATTAATAGATATTTCTATCCTGTGGACCTAGTGACGAGGTATTCCATTGAATGAACTACAATCCAGTCTGCCTTCATTACTTGTTGCTATGTTGGGCAAACCATTAGAAAGTATCTGCGAGCTGTCGGATTGTCAAGAACAACCTTTCTTTAAAAAGTATGCATACAGTTTGAATATGTTAGTAAACCTGTCTATCACTAGCTTGTTTTATACTTTAAAAAAATTGTATTACTTCCCCGTCAAAAAATGCAATATGGAAAGAAAATGACTGACAAATATTTTAACTCTGATAATCAGACATAGTTTTCTGTCTACCTACTTTTAGCTTATACAGTAGGTTTGCGAGAGCACCATGTGAGAGAGAGAGAGAGAGGGTTGAGGAGTCCTGAAAAGGACTCTGACTCAGTAATCTTTCTTGGGGGTGTGGTAGTCCTAAAAAGGACTGTTTGTTATCTTTCTTAGCATATAGTTCTAAGGAAAACTATAGCGCTTGGAGAGGACGAGTGTACTTTGAGCTTATTCTTTATTCAATTTTCATTTTTTTTGGGGGGGGGGGGGGGGCTGGGGGATAGAAAAAAGCTATTAATAATGATACAATGTAATGTGAATAATATATTAATAATAATAATAATAATCCGGTTTTTTATATAGCGCTCAATACACCGATCCAACGATGTACCTAAGCACTTTACAGATATATTATTACCCCGGTCATCGGATTCAGGCTTACCCGCACACAATGTGTGCACATTTTCCACTCCCTGGGGAGCATTCCAGCCAGTCGCCATTTTACAGGCGCACACTTGCTCGTTCAACCACATGAACGTTCGCATCCTACCGGGTACCCATTTAACACCTGGGTGGAGAGTAGCAAGTGCAGGTAAATATCTTGCCAAAGGATATTAGTGCCGTGTCGCAGATTTCTGGGACACAGAAGCCAAAGAGCAAGACAGGACAAACACAACAATCCGGTAAGAAGAAGAAAACCCAAGAAAAATCTCAGCAGATTTCAAAAAGAATATCACCGAGAGCATTGACCAGGAGTAGACAGAATCTTGAGGTATTTTGTGAATAAAGTGCATACATATACCTCCACCTTAAAGAAAAGTATCTTCTTTCTTAAAGTGTTTTTGCTTACCTTTAATATACCATTTCTCACATTTGTCTGCTTGTATTGAAATAAGATCAATACCAGGTTGGAATAGCCATAGAACAGACAATTGGAATTTAATAGCAGGATGCTATGGTAGATCGAGTAGTGGGAATTATACCTAGCTTTTTTAAACAATTGTGTCATGGTCAATAAATACTTGTACTATATATAGAACATTTTCTTACCCCCCCCCCTCAAATATCACAAATGTCTTGATAAAAACGACTAAAAGGAAGAGAGGTAGACATGAAATATTTGTTTGTTATTAACAAAGTGTATTTATTTACTCTCAACAAAACTCGTCATAAACTTGGCACTTTTTTCCTAAAAAGATGGAAAACGTATTCAACAATTTACTCTCAATAGAACAACTCTGTAAGAAAAGCACAAACAGTAACAACATTGGTTGAAACCTTCATTTTACACAATCGATTTGAGTTTTTTGTTTACCTTCAGTGAATACTTTCAAACGCTAACAGCATTCTTTGTCAGACTGATGCCGTCATAGATGGCTTTTAGATGATGGCCTCATTCTGAGGAAGAACGCTGTTAGCTTTCGAAAGTTCTCATCGAAGGCACACAAAATTTCAAATTGATTGTGTAAATAGAAGTTTTCAATCAGTAAACTACCAATCAGATGACCCTATTTTCAGGATCTTAGTAACAACATTGCACACAGAAAACATCTTAAACCAACATATTTATCCCTGCTAAAAATGCATCATCTAAATTTGTGAATTTTAAAGTGCAAAGATAGAATTTACAGTCAAACACTTTACCCATGAATACATTTGCAGGCTTAAACATTTGTATACATTTAAATATTGTTTCTTAAAAGTACACGTACATACATTGTCATATATTTTGTATCTGAGAATGAGACCCTATTTTTAAATTTAAAAAAAAAAAAAAAAAAAAAGGTTTACAACAGATGAAAATTCTAATACCAAAGGAACAAATTTTTTATAATTTACAATCATTGGAATGCAAAACTTCTGCCATCTTGAAATATTACATTATAAATATCGAAGAGACTTCCCTCTTATATTGATCTGCTAATCAATACATGAACTGCATTTTCAAAAAGGTAAAATTGTTTCCGACAAAAACAAATTTCCAAACTTTTACAAAAAGAAAGTTTAAATAGTTTACAATGTCAACATTAGGGATTAAAACTTGAACAAAACAGATGCAACAAAGACACATGCTCATCTGCAATAAAATTTAAATCGCATATATTTCTTTTCCTGCTCATATAGTTCAATAATTTTAAAAAGCTATCTAAAAACATTACCGGTACTCATAAAAGCAATGAAGTTACAAATTCACAAAAATGGACAGGATCGTACGGTTTAAACAACTCATATTTCAGTATTTTTAAACAAAAAACTGTGCAAGCTTAAAGGGATAGTTGAGTTGTGTTTTCAGACCACGAATGCCTTCAAAGTGCATGGTTATTGCTCTAATTCTTATCTATGACATTTCTAGTGCCCTTCTAGAACCTAAAATTGCTATAAAAGTAATTTTAGACCCCAAAATGTGTGAAATTTAGCCAATACGATGATACCAATTCAGCTCCACTTAAAAAAATATACGGTGACCGTTAATTAATTATTTAATTAAAAATAACAAGAATGGGCCGGCTGGTTATGCGTAATATAACCAACACGAAAGTGCCAATAAAAAAGCCAACATTGATATTGGAAAAAATACAACGTAAAAGGCGCTATTTTGCTTTTTCAACGGCTTTTTCAAAATATCTAATATTTGTATTAGAAATCGTTATATTTATGGATATTTCCGCCGTCTCTGAACCGATTTTGATCAAACAAAGATGATTTTGTCATTTAAATTGTATGTCCTTTCAAATTTGATACTCAGTTTTTCATTATCTCACAAAAAATTCTTTTGTGTAGCACCCTCTGCAACAGAACTCAACTATCCCTTTAATATTAAAAACACAAGAAAAACAGCCTTTGATGTCAAAAATTCAGCGCATCATCAATACCAACATAAACCGGATATAAATACATCCATGACAAGGTGATGATTTTACACCTTTAAATACAAAGATATGAAAAATACAAACTCAGAATAACTTAAACCTAAACTAGTTTATAGAATATTGCAAAAATCAAGAATACAAGGACATACCCTGTATATTTGCACTCAACAACACCAATAATAGCACGATAACAGAACAAATTTAAACGGGAACGTTACATAACAAATAAATATAAAATATGTACAAAATAACAATAAGATGCGCTTTGTTTCAAATGAAAAGGCGCTTTATAAATGCAATATATTATTACTATTATTCATTAGATATTTTTCTGACATTCAAAAACCAATTTGTATACAGTACACTTACTTTGGAACGCTTGGATATTCAATAAATCACATATTTAATTTAATTTTCTAGGGATTATTAATCAGTGACAAATTTCTTGATGTATGGCTGAAACATTCAACTCTGAAGATCTCGCAAATCAAATAGGCCAGTTTTGTAAAGAAATCAAATTGAATGCACAAATCTTTATTAAGTGCCATGTTCTAAATTATTTCATTCACCGGTTACAAAAAGTTGTATTTCAATAGTCAGAATGCCCACAGCTTACAGCATACATGTATGCCTGTTTAATAGATGTTGATACATTTTAAAATAATGAGAAAAAAAAGAGAACAACCCATGGAAAGTAGAATAGTGTTTTCAAAGGAGGAAAACAAATTTGTTTACCTGGACAGATAACCTTGATCTATATATCGTCTGTTCGGAGCCAAAAGTACATAAATTCATGCAGAGTTAATCCCTTTCTGGCTCATATCAGACCCTTTAACCTATTTACAAATCTTGTTGAAGAAAGTGATGGTGATTATCTTACCGATCTTAGAATTAAATCATTTTAACCAGATCAATCACCTAGACTTGACCAGCAATGTGTAAATATTTCAACAATAAATAAACGACAACAAAATGAAATACAATGTAATTCATACAGGCATGTGCACTCAATCCGCACATGAATTTTCAATGTCAATTTTCTAACAAAGAACATCTACATAACAATCAAAGGTTTTGAATTTGAATTCATTATATGTTAATGTTCAGGAAAAGAAAGTGTTTACAGTCTACAGATTGAACGCCCTATGTATTTTCCACTGACAACAGAACATGCACTAATTCTTGAAACATTAATATTTTCTAATCTTTACCTCACAAAAACCTCATTTTTTTTGTACAGTATAACATTTATAAACACAATAATATGTGAATGACAATGAAAACCGTAATATGATATGAAAAGAAAATTTGTCACATAGTTTTTTCTCTGTTTGTACATGTAACTGATGCAAGAATATACTTTGGTTTACTAGAATTTCTCTTTAAATATTATGCAGAGATGAAATTCTATCTCAATTTATTTGGTTTTTATTTTGGCACTTTGATATGCTGTCTGTAAATTCATACTTTCTGAAGAAAAAAAACAGCAACATTTAATCCTATAATAAAAGAAAAAAGATTGAGAGAAATCATTACATATAATTTTTATTTGCGAGAACAATAAAAAGAAATTCATTCATTTTTTTCAAACATGAACCATGAAACTAAAATACACTAAAATGTGAGCACACAGATTGTCAGAGAATGTAAGAATTTATTGGATAAAACCATTCTTCATAGATAAGTCAAACCCCAAGGTTTATTAAGCATGGTTTTGCATAGTGCCATGAGCACCGAAAGGTGGACCTGTGCGCTATACAAGTAGCCACTATTATTATTATTATTATTATAGTATCATAGAAAAAAAATACAAAACATACAACCATGTTTATTATATAACGATGCATAAAATATCATTAAAGACATTTTTTCACAATAAATAATAGTAACTTGAAAAGACTAGAAGGAATCAGACCTAATTTGGGGTTTGTAACAACTGAAAATGAATGTTTTATAACTACCAAGGTGTCTTTTTTTTAACACCCTATTAATGGATCAAAAATAAAAATAGAAAAGAAAATCTATTAATAAATATAACTAAGGGAAAAAGAAATCAGACTGGTGTATCACTCTTCTAACTGGAGTTTTCAGTCGCATAGTAGTTGGCTCTCATGAGGAATTCAATTTTTCTTGTGTTTACCCAATAAAAGGTGTTGTCAGTCAGCAGGATTACCCTTCAGTCTTACGACCAACAGGCCTTACGTAATGCATGGCAATTTCCACCCATTCCCCGATTCGGTAAAGTCATTATCTTACATTTTCCTCACCCCAAAAACTCTCCAAGAGACTGGGTAGTATTTATTGATAGGACTACAGGGTTTGCAGTGTGCGGGACTTGGACACCCATTAAAGGAAACCAAAACCTTCATACTAAGTTACTGTTATTGTAAAGTTTAAGATATTTGAAAAATATAAGTGAAAATTTGAACAAAATCGGGCAAGGAATAAGGAAGTAAGAGCTTTTTGAAATTAGTAGTCACTAGAGGGCGGTATTCAATTTGATGATATCATCTGTGGACAACTCTCCATGCCTTTTGTACATCAAATTTCATGTTTTTCCTTCTTTCTTGTGATTGAGATAATGTACTCCCCTGAAAGCAAGATATAGAATGCAAAATGATATTCTACTTCACATGTTATGAAGTCGGATCTAGAACACAAATAAATAAGAAAACAACAAAATTGTGAAATTTTATGTACAAAAGGCATGGAGAGTTGTTCACAGATGATTTCATCAAATTGAATAGCCCTCTAGTAACTAGTCATTTCAAAAAGCTCTAACTTTCTTATTCCTTGCCCGATTTTGTTCAAATTTTCACTGATTTTATTCAAATCTTTTAAACTTTACAATAAAAGTAACTTAGTATGAAGGTTTTGGTTTCCTTTAATGGTATTTCCATCAAATCTGGTGTCAGCGAAAAATGACCTTCTGCACACAGTAACTGACGACCCTCCTCCTTTAAACTAAATGACAACAAATGTTTTGTTAATAGCATAATGATTATGATGTATAGAATAAAAACAAGTACACAATGGATCAATAAATAATAGTAACAGCAATAGGGTTCCTGTATTTGGTGTAATGACACAAACAAAATGTTTAATATTATAATATTGAAAGATATATTTATAATTCTTCTGGTATGTACAGAAAATTTGTTATTTAGTGAGTGGCAGTCAATTCAATTCTTATTTGTATAAATAAATGAGAGAACCACCTTGTAACCAAGTGAGTCAAACATGTGTAACCTTATACTCATTTCTGTGTTATTTTGATTTTATCCAGTAAAGTAGCATGTGGAGGGCTAAATATTATTATTTTTGAATAAATAGTAAAATAAGAAGAAATCAGACTTTGGTGTATAATCAGCCTCCTTGACTTTGTGCTAGGACCTGATAAACTCTGAAGGTCCTGTTCTGGAAGACCATCTTGAACAGTCGCATGAAGTCCTGGCCTCCGTTCTGGATGGCATCGCAGAAGCGCCTGGTCTTGACGATCCTCAGGTCCGGTTCCAGGGCTGGGTTGGCCTCACTGTACAACTGCATGGACAAAGATGGGCAGGAGATACAGACAAGAATATGGATTTTCAAGTGGTTGAATTGGGTATGAATCAATACTGCAATACATTTACCTGTATGAACAGGAAATCTTCACTCAAAAGATTTTTGCTTTATTCTTTTCTCGTGCCAAAACATTAAGCACTCATGCTGATCAGTGATCACAAAATACAGTATAATTGAATGTACATATATGATTCACCAGTCATATCAATGTAAAAGTAAAAAAGAAATTAATAAAAAGTCCCAGGGTTGGTTGGCAATAGTAATGGAGATATGACTGTCAAAAGAAGATGACTGTCTAGGAAAATGGAGTAGTTTTTAGGATATATAGTGGTGGTTATTTAACCAGACAGCTAAGGAAGCAAGAAATGCTTGTAAGTAAGCAACCGGAAGACAGACGGCTTTAAGTCCTCTCCAAGGGACCTGGTAATGGGGATAATGCCTTACCAAAGGGCACTAGCACATCGACTTGGTTTTCGAACCAGAGTCACCGGATTACGAGACCACTGCTCTACTGACTGAGCTATCGCGCCTCCTCATATATGTATGCATGTTACTAATGTATGATGTTTTGTCCATGCTCTAGAAGACAAGCATAGACTTAAGTTAAACTGAACCCTGTTTCAAAAAAACTTCTCATCAATGCTACTGAAAGTCACTCAAACAGGAACAGTGAAAGCCTGGCAGTGGAAAAAGAGCCAGACTTGCTATTTCCTGGTTGAAATATATCGACATATGGACAGGGGAAAAAGCTGTCAGAGGCAACGAGAGCAACATTAGACAGAGAAGGATTGCGTAAACTTGTGATGGCCACAGCAGCGCAGCTTGCGCCACCTGACTGAAAGAAGAAGACTGCAACTTGCAACTAGTTTAATGTAACTTGCTACTAGTTTAATGTAACTTGTAACTAGTTTTATGTAACTTGTAACTAGTATTATGTAACTTGTAACTAGTTTTATGATTCGGGGCTCAGGTTAACTATATAACTCACATGTCCATTCATGATGTCCAGTATGTCAGGGAGTCTGCAGCCTACTTCAGAAGATCTTGCGTAGCAGATACTGTCTTCCAGGATGATATAATCAGTCCCCGTCGCATTGTGGATGTCATACACATCTTGAGCACACCGCCGGGCGTAATACTGATACAGCTGTCAATGAAAAGAAAATTCAAATTGTATAGTATTACTGGTAAGATATATTAGTAGGAAATCTGAGAGAGATCAGATGAACAGAAAATATTATAATAATGGCAAAATATTAATTACAATAAATCTGATTTCATTATGAAGATAAGGCATGTTATATTCCACATACGAAGAATCTTGCTCTACGATTGGTCAAAAGTAAATCACGTGATGAAAGATAGTTTCGCCTATCAATCACCCTGCAGTATTTTGCATTATGCTGATCTTTCAAGTTAATAGCTTTGATCCATAGAATAACAACACACGTTATCACTATTTGGAGTATGAGCGAGATGAAAGTGTTTTGCACTGTGTACTATCTTATCCAAAAGCGCACTAAAATAGGCATACCAGTAAATAAGCGTGCATTTCCAATAAAACACATGAGCGCACCCAGGAGGGGTTAAACTTAAACTTTTTTTGTGTGAATTTGGGCCAAGCTGTCTTTTATGTAGATGAATACACGTCCTTTTCTTTCTGTAGTTAAATTGTTTCAGATGTGGAATATAAAGCAAATAATCACCTTTTGGTTTCAGGCGATGGCAAACAATCACTTCCTCGGCAATTATTTGCTTTATAGTCGGAAAGATAGCTACATCCAGATCACCTCGGAATTGATAGTTTGTCCATCACCTCACCAACGGTAATTATTTGCTTATTATCTGAGCGTTTTCCCGCAAAGACGACGTAATGATGGTAATTAAACGCTTAAATACAACAAGGAACTTGTAACAGGACTACCATTATCATCAATTATATCCCCACCATCATTTCTACATGTATTTCCATGGTAACCAACCAACCTCTAATGTCTTATCTCTGAGCTGTTTATCCTCGTAGTGAGGATGATTGGTCAATCTCCTGCCTGTACACAGCTTGACTCCAGCTAGTAGCTGCATGCTCCCGCTAAATACAGCTGTCTTTGGTGTCTGCTGACTGTAAACAAGGAAAGAAGAATTTCATGTCAATCACATACTTTATCATTAAATAATAATAATAATAATTAAACGTTTTTGTATAGCGCATAACACATAGGCATAATTGCATGTCTCTATGCGCTTTACAGAACATAATGCAGAAGGAGCGGAAATGGTACACTGGGTTCATGATTGTGAGATTTTACAAAGTGCTCAGTGGTTGAAAACTGAAGGATTGTGTAAAAAGAAGTTTTTAACCATTAAATCACAAGACCATTTTTTCAGGACTTCATTCCAATACAAATGTACAACCATGCTCATCATTTGCTTTCGTTTTCAATGACGTACCTGATCCAGTTCATCAGCTCTACTGTATCCGGATCATAGAATTCCCTGAGGTTATTCAGCTCTGCTGATATCTCTGGATAACACTGAGTCAAATCAACACACAATAAACAACAGTTAAGGTCAATTCCGAGTGTTATGTAATGACATTTCCAGAGAATTTTACATCTTGAATGAAGAATATGACAGATATTTTGATATGAATCTACAAATTAATGATATGATATATTATTACCCGTATCAGACATCTGAGCAGTGGTTTTACAAACTCATATTACACTTGCTGGTAATCCTAAAAGGGCTAATCGAGGAATATGAGATCATATTTACCTTTCATGAAAAAGCCTATGGACTTAACGTGTTAAAAAAGCATGATATAAGACCACATTCACCGCGCCCTATTTGGTCATTTTCATTGCGCATCTATTATGCGTACGAGAACCTGCGCACTTGTGCGTACTCTATCGTGACGTAATAATCACATCAAATTGGGTACACTGTTTGCAGTGTATCGAAAATTTTGTCAAGCAGTTGGATGCACAGTGCTGGTTTGACAAAGCTTGTTCAGTTCTATGAGATTGTCATGTATGTATTTGCTCTAGATGTCTGATTTAGATAATGATAACAATATTGACTGGCTTAACTTTCGGGAGATACCACATATGTTTCCCTCACACGAACCATATTGCCCTCGTCTTTGACTCGGGGCAATATGAGTCTAGTTTGGGAAATATTATGTGGTATCTCCCTCAAGGCCAGTCCATATTATATAATTAACCAACATACCATTAACCAAGATACTGTCACAACATATGGGTTTCTTATCAACTATTCATCAAACATATTAAATTTTGAATTTTTATACTACATGTTAGTGTGTTACGGAATGACATAAAAGGTCATTTTTGGTCATTCGGTGACAAAGCTATTCAAATTCACTATTTTATGAATTTGATGAATGATCCATAGGAAACTTATATGTTGTGAAAGTACCTCATATAAGATTTTAGATCATATCATCGATTTGTGGATTTTTATTAAAATATCTATGATATTTTTATTTCAAAATTGAAAATTCTCTTGAAATTTCATTCTACAATGCTTGGCATTGCCCTTAAGACATTATTAGGTAAGTGAAAGAGAAAAACTCTCCTAAATTTAGTTCCTAATGAATACAAGCATAAAAATCTTAAAATTTGCAATATCTAGTGGAAGTCTTAAACTTTAACTAATTTAAATAATTTAGAGCTTTAGAAGATGTTGTTCTTGTAAGAACTTACCAAGTAGATGGCAACTGCAATGATGAATACCCCAACACCATGACGTACACATTGAACCTGAAGAAGGGGGAAAAATGGTAAAGATATATCAGTTTAGCATAGGCATGCAGAAAACAAGTTACAGAAATCTGTTTTGAGAAATGTTTCACTTTAGTGTTTGATTTTTTTTGGGGTGTTTGGACACTGACAAAGGCTAGTACCATATGACTGGTAACAATAACAATTCCTGAATAGCACTCTCAAAGTTAAAATGGGAAGGCATTGCATGTTGGTGTGGAAGGTCCAGTCTCGAATTAGAATAATAAAAAAAGGCTTTAATACTGCTTTTCTCATATCGTTGGTATTGCAAATTCGCTACTACCGGTGTGCATTTTCCAAATACACTTCAAGATTTAGATTTATCATAAATTTGGATACAAATTTTGCTATTAAAGCAGTATTTCCTCTAAATTCACTGTTATAGATACACCTAGAGGTTTTTACTTCTTCTAAATGACATCACTTCACTTTAACTTAATATAATCATTCAAACAAATACGGTCAGATAAATTCTCACCACTGTTTCTGACTTGCATCCAGCCTTCCCTAGCAACAATCTCCATATCGATGCGTTGCCGACACCGAACGCCGCCAGGACGCACATCTGCGGGGTCCACACGAACTTCATGCGGACCACGGCGAAGGCCATGAGACCAAAGAGGATTGTCTGTAGGGTGTGGAAAGCAAGGTCCGGTCTAAAGAGGATGGTGGTATCAGGTGAAGGAGGTGGTGTGGAGGAGGAGGTGGTAGGTCTGTGGATGTCATCATCTTTCTTGCTCGCCGACATCTCAGATTCCAGGCTGAAATATGACAGTAAGGATGTGAAAAGATAATATGAGTTGCAAAATGATAAAAAGGTATTTTTATTTAAACAGAACAAATCATAAACGAATTAATGGTAATAAGGAAGAGGATGAAATAGAAGAAGGAGGGGAAGAAGAAGGAGGAGAAGGAGGAGGAGGAGGGGAGAAGAATAAGGATGAGAAGAAGAAAAAGAAGCAGAAAAAAAAAGAAGAGAGAAAGAAGGAGGAGAGGAGGAAGAAGGATGAGAAGAAGAAAAAGAAGCAGAAAAAAGAAGAGAGGAAGAAGGAGGAGTGGAGGAAGAAGGATGAGAAGAAGAAAAAGAAGCAGAAAAAAGAAGAGAGGAAGAAGGAGGAGAGGAAGAAGAAGGATGAGAAGAAGAAAAAGAAGCAGAAAAAAAAGAAGAGAGAAAGAAGGAGGAGAGGAAGAAGAAGGATGAGAAGAAGAAAAAGCAGAATTAGAAGAAGAAATAGAGGTGTGAAGAAAAGACGGAGAGGGTGAAGAACAAGTAAAAGAAAAAAGAAAAGAAAAAGAAGAAGAGAAAAAAAGGAGAAGTCAAAGAAAAAGTTATAGGAGGAGAAGTAGGAAAAAGAAGGAAGAGAAGGAGAAGAAGGAAAAAAAGGAAAGAGAATGAGAAGAAGAAAAAGGAGAAAAGGGATATTAGAAGGAGAGGGCAGAGGAGGAGGAGGAGTAGGAGGAGGAGGAACAAGAAGAAGATGTGATACTTTTGGCACTCTGTGACGGCTATTCCCATGAGCATCTAAGCTTCTTAGGTTTCTCAATTCAATATATATGTAAATGATAGGAATCAGCTGATGGATATATATATTCCTGTAGGACCCCATGCAACAAGGGTGACTGCACGATTAGTCATAGTCATATCAGCTCTAAAGAAATACCTTGGATACATCTAAATGATGAATTGACACTGCTTCAGTCTGAAAAACATTTATTCATCTACATCTTTGATATCTTTCCAAAACTAAAGACTAAAGACAACCCTGTATTAAAGACAAAAATATATATAAATATAAATAGTTCTAAGGTATTATTCCACTACAGATTTATTTGTCAAACATACAAACATTTTTTTCTTCAGAATAGGGCACACATGTGTTGGATTATGACAAGACTAGTATTAAGGGGTCATTTTTGTAAAAAACGATACACAAATAGCACACCACTGAATTTTTGTGTCAATCCAGTATATAAAAGACTTATCAACTGCTTTAATATTCGAGGCCTGGCTGTTGGCTCTCGGGGACGTGTACATCCTGCCATGACCCTGAGGGGTGCCTGGGTGGGCGGTGGGCCGAGGGGTCGTGGCAGGATGTGCATGCCCCTTGAGCCTATGAAATAGCCAGGCCTCTCATGGCAGTCGATATCTCTATACTATTTCCACCTAGGGCAAAACATCAATGCATTGTGATGGGTCTTTCTGACCAATCTGGTCATCTCCTATAGTGAAACCTGTGTATAAAGACCGCTCAAGGGAAACATGAAAAGTAGTCTTTATAGGCAGGTGATATTTATGTACAGGTTCCTTAAATATTAATACAGGTTTCAATGGAAAACCATATTTAAAGGGAACAAAAGAAGTAGACTTACTTCTATACAGGGGGTGTTTCATGAAGCTGTTCGTAAAGTTACGCATGACTTTACGAACGACTTGTATATGAAGTGCCAGATAGGATGCCCAAAGGTTTTTCTGATATTTCCAATAACCTCAATTAAATTATGGCAAAAATATACTTTGCATTAAAAATGTTTGTTATACCGGGTAATACGAATTTTAATCTACATCTGAACAGTTCAACTTTAGTTGATGCAGGTAATAATGATTGAGCATCCCATTTGGCTTTTCATATACCGGTACAAGTCTTTTGTAAAGTCATGCGTAACTTTACGAACAGCTTTATGAAACACCCCCCAGGTGGTCGCTAAAGCAGTTTTGACTGTATTGTGTGAATTCATCAATACTATATACAGGCCTCTATGACTAACTACTCACTCAGGTCAGTCAACTCTCTTCAGAATCTTCACTTTCTATCATACACAGTCTCTATTTTCCTTGACCCCCACTCCCCCTCCCCTTAAACCGAAATAAGGAATGGTAAAAATGTTCACATATTCAGCCAGGACTTTGATCTAGACCCATCAAGGGCACAGTACACACAGATCCCATATCTTTAAATGTGGACCCGTGATATACTGTAGCACATCATGGTAACATTCTCTATGTGCTTTATAGATATATCATTACCCTTGACATACTTAAAGCTCATCTGTACTAGTTTGGCCAGGGGAGATTAGACCTCCCTGCAAGGCCACTGGCAGGTGGTTATCTCATCAAATCAGCATTCAATTAGCATAAGAAAAAGAGGATCATGGGTGACAGGCACTGATTAGGCATTGTTTGCTATATAGAGGGCGCAAGTAGCTATAAGTAGTGCAGTGGGGCTTTAAAACTGTGTTTTAAAAGTACATCATCTCCACTCCATACAAATTATATTATATTATACTACCAGACGAATGCTAAATGTACACTGCAGGTTCATTGATCGTAATGTACATGTACATTTGTCATTAAATAGATACACATATGTTGTGTACAGGAGCAGAACAAATTCTTCTTCCTCGATGAGCAATACCCATTAACTTTATTAAAGCGTGCCTCCAACATGGCACCAGTTTTCTGACCCTCTTTATGAATCATACAAATTTATCATACCAATGAGACTTCTCGTGGTTATTGATGCATTATACAAGTCATGTAGCAACATCCCTTGGGAAACCTAGTGTGAAAAATTCAAAAGCATTTACGGAAACGACACATTGAATTATTCATGAATTGATCTTCTCATTAAATTTGCACAAGACACTTTCTATTTTTGCATACATGTAGAACATTCTCAGCTCCCAAGTATACTATAAATACATTAAGTTGGCCAGTAATGATTGGAAAACCTACATGTAGTTTGAAAAATTTAAAAGCATTTACGGAAATGAAACATTGAATTATTCATGAATAGATCTTCTCATTAAATTTGCATAAGACACTCGCTATCTTTGCATACATGTAGGGAATTCTCAGCTCCCTAGGATACTAGAAATACATGAAGTTGGTCAGAAATGATTGGAAAATTTCCATGTAGTGTGAAATTTTTTAAAGCATTTACGGAAACGACACATTGAATTATTCATGAATTGATCTTCTCATTCAATTTGCATAAGACACTTGCTATCTTTGCATACATGTAGGGCATTCTAAGCTCCCATTTACCCTGGAAATTTGGTCAGAAATGTACATCCAAGGTGTCCACGTATATGGGTATTTTTGTATTCCATGCACTTCCAAGTATATGAGAAGGCTTACTTCGGATCATCGAGTCATTGCTTCGCGTTACCCGAACTTTTGTAAAAACATGCCCCTTTATTCACAAAACGTTGGGGGTAATGTTTGTGAAATAAAGCTATCTCATCTACAAATGGTCTGGTCTAATTTACCCGATACTAAGTGAAAACCCTACGGCAAATATATGAAATGTTGCGTCCTTAACGCGAATCTATCTTCCGCTTTCGTTTCATAAAAGGTTGTGTAACGCGACCAGCGACCGGACATGATGACTCCAAGTAAGATGTATGACAAGAAAGAATATCAACAATATCAAAAGTATAATTTCCTTAATACTGACGACATCCAAGCTGTATGTGTAATGTTCTTTCAAGCGTGCCTCAATCATGGCACCAGTTTTCTGACTCTGTGCATGAGAGCTATCACGATAACGAGATTGGGGGTGGTTATGGATGCATTTAGATGATGCATATTTCATTACAGCACCCCTAGGAAAATGCAGTGTGAAAACTGTAAGAGCCTAGTAGACTGCATTTAACACGTTGAATTATTCATGAATTGATCTTCCCATTAACTTTCATGAGATGCTCCAAAGTATCCTGGTACATACAATGTCAATGTACAGGCAGCTGAGAAGGACATATAGTTCAGAGCAAGTCTCAGGTTTTTTAATAATTTCTTGTACCATATGCTAACAAGGATAGTGAACGTAAAATTTAAGTGACATCAAAAGTACAGTTTCTTTGAAACTGAGTTTTATAAAAACTACATTAACATCAATATTTCTCTCTCTTCCTCCCCCTTCTCTCTCTCCTTTTTTTACTCAATATCTTTATCTCAATTCATTACAAATTTACAATCTACCGGTGCTCTCTTCATGACCTCCTGACCCCCTCTCTCTCTTTCTCTATCTCTCACACACACACACACACACTTTCTATTTCTCTTATCTGTACTCCGTCTCTTTATTCCTCTGCGTTTCTTTCTACTTTTCTTCTCTTCACTTCATTATCCACAATCTAATCTATCCCAAAGAATAAACTTCTATTAGTACGTGTCCAATACATTACCGAGTATCATGGCATACTGAACATCATTGATGCTTTATCAGATCTAATCTGTAATTACAGTCAAACCTACTTTAGCACCACCTGTATAGAAAGGCCACTTTTTTTTGTTTCCCTTGAACATGGTTTTCTCTTTGAATCATGTACTAAAGGAACCTGTACATAAAGACCACCTGCCTATAAAGACCACTTTTCTCTCTTAAATGGTCTTTATAAACAGGTTTTACTCTACCAACAGAACCTGTACACAAAGAGGACCTGCCTATAAAGACCACTTTTCTCTCTTGAGTGGACCTTACACATGTATACAAGTTTCAATGTACATTGTGTATAATATTAATGGGGGGGGGGGGGTTCAATATAATAGAACCCTCAGGTACATGCAAGCTTTACATTGCACTTAAGATTTTATGTCATATTATTGTAAATCAACTCTAAAATTTCATATTCTTAAACTGAACATGGTTCATAAAAGACAAACAAGCAAAACAAAACTTACTTCCAGTTTTGTACAACTGCTAGGACGAGGACGGAGAGCAAGCCGAAGACGACGGCCGTGTAGAGCGGGAAGAGAAGGGTCGATGTCATGTCTCTTATTACATGGATGGGCAAGAAAGCAAAGGCACTGTGGCACTTGTACAGCAAAACATCAAAATCTCTGTAGGGGAAAGGAGGAGGAGGAAGCAGCGTGGATTAGCAAGGGATTCTAAGATCCAAAGTTCGGTATGGATACATGATTTGAAGAAGGGGGACACTGTACAGCTTTCAAGAGTTATTCAGAATTATATTCCACATACTAAGAATCTTGCTCTACGATTGGTCATAAGTAAATCATGTGATCAAATATAGTTCGCCCATCATTGATGGGAGAAGCAAAAAGTTTGTTGCCCTTTGTAGATAGTACTACTATCTACAAAGGGCAACGCACTGTTACTGAAGATAGAGGTACTATCTACAAAGGGCAACGCACTTTCACTGAAGATTATCCAAAAGCGCACTAAAATAGGCGTAATTAAGCGCGCATTACCAATGAGCGCAATTAAAGCAAACCCATGCGCGCTTTTAACTTTTAACCTTTTTGGTGTGAATTTGGTCTTTCATGTAGATGCATACACGTCCTTTTCTTGTTGTAGTTATATTGTTTTTAGATGTGGAATATAAAGCAAATAATCACCTTTTGGTTTCAGGCGATGGCAAACTATCACTTCCTCGTCGATCAGAATGTATACGCTATCTTTCCTCAGCTTCGCTTCGGAAAGATAGCTACATCCAGATCGCCTCGGAAGTGATAGTTTGTCCCATCACCTTCACCAACGGTAGTTTTTTGCTTACTATTTAGCTTCTTGTATGAATCTTCTAAAACTTTTAGTTACGTAAAAATGTACATCCTTTTAAACTTTTCCTGGCTATAAAATTTTCTCATTAGCATGAGCCTGCATTAAACAAATTCATTATTCAGGATCACACAAAACATTTCAAATTTATCAAGACATAAAATTTGCTGATGGTGCATCGTAAGATGATACAGTTAACACCTAAATTATTCATACCCTTTGTAAATTTGATGTTTTTTAAATTTTTTTAAAGTCAAGAATGAAAGGTGGAAGCGTTGAATTAGGGCCTGTGTTGAATACCTTTAGAAGTAAGCTTTGACCTATCACATTTTCAAGAAACATAAGGTGGGACAAATCAATCTTTTAACATACTGTACTTGGTAAGGATATTAATAATTTAGTTGTTAACAGTATGTGTGTACCTACCTAGCATTAGCAAGTCCAAATTTGGCAGTGATGAACTTGAAAATATGCTGATCCGCATCTAGGCCAATTAGGATCTGAAAAAAGAAAACAAAATCATTGATATGACAATCAATATATGAACATGGGATTGAAGTATATCTTAGTTTACAATAATGATGAGATGAAGCATGAGAACATTTTCAGCACAATAAAATCTGTGAAAAAGCTTAATTACGATATCTTTGTTAATAGTTCTCCAACTTCTAATGAACTTTTAAAGTTAGTTTGCATGTCTGGTACTTGCATAATCCTACTAATTTGTAGAGACAAGCAAGATTCTTTGAGTAAGGTCTTGGTTGACAATATTGAGTTTTCACACTTTTTCTGTTTTGACCTGATTCTAAAAACCAAAGCGGATGATCTGAAACAAAAATTGAATACATTGAGTACAATTTGGTCAAACACCTACAACATAAAATCAATGCTAAATGCCATGGTCAGAAAAATGGCTACCGGTAGATAGAAAAATGAAGAGAGCCATGAAATTCAAAGATAATCACACTTCTTATTTTGTGAATGTTTATTTTACAAATGGACATAAAGACAAGGACAAAAAGAGGCTAATTTCTCTTCTACACAGTACATTTATACACCCAGTAATAATCATTTTGCTGAAACTGTATATATTTGTGGATTTCAACAACAGATTGAGGTATATAGATTGTAAAATAGTTCCTGTAAAGATACTATGTCCCTTTTGCAGCCAACATCAAATTCTGTAGAACTTTGCAGGAATTATGAATATGTCATGTACTCTGTTTGTCCTATCTGTGAAATTTAAACGTTAGCAGTGTCCTAGTATTCAAATTATGCAAGGAAACCCGTTTACTTGCTTTACTTCACTGTCAGACACTACTGGGTGATTGACTGGCTGTTTTTCTTCTTTGGTAATAACATACATAAAATGAGCTGTAAAAGGTACATGAGCATTTGTCTACATCAATAACCCACTTCTTGTGGTGGCCAAAATTAAACTGATTGAATCTTTGCGCAGCATAAAACGTACAACCATTCAGTTCAATGGTCTGAAAATCAGTCTATTACTTAATGGCTCTATAGCTCTTAAGTCAATTTGACAACCAATAGTCGTTATTTTCCCACTTAAAAACATTTTCAAGCCCCCCCCCCCCTTTTTTTTAGGGAAGTTCAAAATTAGTTTTATCTTTCAAATGCTGTTGGAATTTAACCTTTTCATTTTTTTGGCCTGCAAATGGGACATAGTACCTTTAAAGCAAAGTCCAATGCCCCTTGCAGCAATTGCATGCCTGAGCTAAATGAAATTGACTAGTAGCATGCCCAGACTAATTTCCCTAGATAGTGAGGAGGTCCCACTGGGACCCTACTGTGGGTAAATCTAATTTATAACCGGTGCTGGGTGCCCCATACAGGTTGGGCTGGATGGGCAAGACCTCGTTCTCACTCCTCAAATAAGAGTGGTATTATATTGTGACCCCCTTAAATGTGTGGGTATGAACACACTTTAAAAGGTTGCTCTTATGGAAAATTGAAGGCAAAACTTTGTTAGATAGTACCATGCTGGAGTACTTCTGCTTGATAAATATGCAACCAATGCATGATAGCATTCATGTATGTAAATTTCAAGAAAATATTCAAGTTATGACCTTTCTTTTACATATTCCCAACATATTTCAGTCTTTTCATCACCTCAATGATAGGTCATTGATTTTTTTTTATCCCTTGCTATTGTTTCTCTGCTATTTCATTACAAAACCAGCAAAGTTAAGTTGTGTTCACACCCAACTGTACATGTATGACTAAAAAGAGTGCAAAAAAAGCAGCAGGATAATAAAGAGTGCCTGACCATGGAGCATAAAATGATATAAATCGGACAAAGGCACATAATAAACATGCTACATTTAAGTGTGAAGCATACTTATAAGAATCATTTTAGTTTCCTACTAAAGCGTTCATATCACTCTTCATAAGAACATTCTTATTTTATTCGAGTATGGGTCACATTGGTGAACATGTCACCCATATGTCATAAATCTTGGTCAAGAACTCTGCAAGATGGGCTAAAAAAGGGTCATTGAATTAAAGGTGAAGAAAATGGTAATGTTGTTGTCTTGGGATTACGATGATTACAAATCAGATGAGAAAAGCCTCAAAGCAATTTTCAAATAGACTGAAGATAAACCAAGTGTACAACGCGTAGCAGCAGTAGAGGGGTAGGCAGGATCGACTAGAAGCCTTTCCATATGATTTGTGAATATTCTTTAGTAGTGCATAGACACATAGTACGCAACATTTACAGAAAAGTAAAAATGGTAGAGTTCATTTCATTTGTTCTGCTATTGAAGCTCCGTGGTTTTACTGTGGAGTTGGCATTGCATTACCATACATGCCAACATTTGAAAATCAGAAATCTGTACAAATTATGCTATTTTCAAAAAAAAGAGGAACAATCCTAACTCTCCTATTCAATACTACAGACAAATTTGTACAGGAAGAGGAACACCTGCATTAAAATGATAATTATCTTCTCCCAAAAAGAGGAATGTTCCTCTTTAATCTGAACAGTTGGCATGTATGCATTACAGCAGTTAAAAGATTATGCATCTCCAATCTAAAAGTGCAACATTCTTCTAAAAAAGCAACACTTGTGTGCTTCTTCTCTTATACATATCTTTCTCTATCCATGTATCCCTCTTTCTTTCAATATTTCTTTCTCTTTCATCTATTGTTCTATTTCCCCTGACAACCATTAACTGCCCTCAATCTTTCTCTCTCTTCATGATAAACACTCCCAGAACAAGAGAGAAAAACAAAAAGGATTGAAAATAGACAATAGGGTCAACTTGTCCCTATGCACCGAGCAGCCATATATCTATCGCACATAAAGTGGTATTTGTCTCTCTCAATACGTCATGCCACACAAGTTTAATTACTGCCATGGGCACTTTTACTTCAAGCCCTGATTGATGTTTCCACTTTTTATGCTCAGTTATGCGCACTTGTGGTCATTTATTATACTTCATGGTCTATTTATTGTACAATCATTATACTGGATTCAAATATTTGTGATACGACCTCAGTCTATAGGCTTGTCCTCATCAGCTCGAGATCGCCAAAAAGCCTGCTATTTCTATTTACAAATCACGTTTTCATGAGCTCGAGACTTGACCTCTAAACTTGAAACTAGAGACCAAGAAATTAGCTCGAGATATTTTGCTCAGCGTTCGCACATAGTGCGAGTCTTCGGGCTGGTGAGAACGCACCAGACAAAAAGCAGGATAGTTTGCAAACTATCTTGACCAAATATCCCGCTTATGGCAACTTCGTGCTGATGAGGATGCAAATTAACTGGTTAATTTGCGATCGGGATAGTTCAAATAGCGGGATATTTGGCAATCTCAAGCTAATGAGGACAGGCCTAATGAAAGGCCTGAGATCAATCCATCTGAGTAATATTTCAGTTTATACTTTCTCAAGTAAATGCTTTTGAGGCTTTAAATTGACTGAGTTATCAGGTACAAAGTATTTATAATTCATAAATTTATAATTATATTTATAATATTGTGTACCACTCATTATAAATTTCCATGGAAAATAATAAAAATAATAAACACTAAAAACACTATTTCCTTGACATTTTTCCCCAATCCCAGCTATGGCTATTAACTTCATACAAATATCAGGTACCAGTATACTAACAAATCTTTGATGTGGTCAGTAACCTTTGGGCTTGTCCAGGTATTTTGAGTTCCAATGAGAGAACAAAGCTGTATATTTAGTTCTGAAGTTAACCATGCACATCATCTTCAAGTCTTAATGCCATATATACCACAATTAGCTAAAATCATTATTGCAATAAGAAATGGGTTATATTACCTTAATTGCAAAGTTGAGGATAAACATTCCTGCACATGTGAAGACCAATCTTGCAATCAATTTGAGGAGTTGACCTGAGATGCTTGTAACCGCCAGTCTCTCAGCCTGGATGTAAACACAGGGATGAAATGGAAACATATACAGTTAGTAACTAAATTATTCATACCCTTACCAAGTTTTGAAATTGTATAAGTATGTAAAAAGTTGGTTTGCCCCAATTATATTTTGTGAGAATGTGACGAATTAAAGCTTATATATCTGTAAGAATACGACAAAGGCCCTGATTCAACCAGTCTACCTTTCATTCTCGAGTTACAAAAACACCAACAACATCAAATTCAGTTGGTAACTTTCTGTGATTGAAAGAGATGCACCACATATGTGATGTACTGTACTTGAGAGAGAGGGGGGGGGGGGGAGAGAGAGAGAGAGAGAGAGAGAAAGAGAAAAGGAGAGAAAGAGAAAAGGAGTGAAAAAAGGGAGAGAAAAAGAGTAAGCAGGAAGAGTGAGAAAGAAATGAAGGGGAGAGAGAACAAGAGATTAAGAGAGGTGAACAGAAAGAACAAAATGAGAGAGAAAATAGATGGAAAGCCTACAGAAAGGTAAAGAGAAGAGAAAAAAAAAAGAAAGGGAGGAGAGAAAGTGAGAGAGGGGATAGAGAGGAACAGAATTTAAAAGAAAGTTAGAGAAAATGGAAGAGGGGAGAGAGAGAGAGAGAGAGAAAGAGCGGGGGGGGGGGGGGGGGGTCGGCTAAAGAAACACAAAATAAACAAAATTCTTTGTGTCTTGAATACACCACTGCATCAATACTGTTCTTGAATATAAATCCTAATTCATCAAAATTAATGTCTCTCTCTGTCAATTTATCAGAATGAAGCCTTTTGATTTATTCAATCAACCTTTGCCATTCTGAATACTATCAATAGTTTTATCCAAGGTTACGTGTAATGGTACCAATCAATCACATACATGTAAAATGACAAAAGAAAGAAAGAAAGAATGACAAAAGAATTACATTGAATAATCAAATAACGAGTATAAATCAATTAGAGACAGAAGTATGATCGTGCAAGAGCTAAAGAAGCCTAGTTTATTGACTTCATCATTTATTCAAGCAAGTTTGTACAGCTAACATAGATAGATATGATGAAGTACAGTCAAATTCAATAAATGGTTTGTTATGAGTTTGAGGGTATTACTATTAAAAAGGAAAGAAACATGAATACATTCATATTTTGTTGCAAACATTTAATAAGAACACCAATGAGCAAGATTTATTTATGTTGAGTTGTCCAGATTTTTCATCAAAGTTTGAGCTCATATGAAACCTAAATTTTCTAGAGTGCTAATAGTAAACAAAACTCTTTCCCTATCAGTACTCAACTTTATTTTTACACACATCTAACTTGTTTGTCCTTCAATACAGTATAATCTTAAAGTGTAATAATATAATAATGATAACGTTTTATTTACCCAGGGTAGCCACTTCAGTGATGAAACTGCTCTTCTAGCGGGCCCTGCAAACATAATATGTTATTACTACCCTTCTCCAATTTTATGTGCTGAGCACCTATAGCTAGAAGGCAGAAGGTCCCATTGTTGTAAATCTTTGGTATGACTCGGCCGGGGTTCGAACCCACGACCTCCCGTTCATGAGGCGGACGCTCTAACCACTGAACCACCATGCCTGTTCATTACAAATAAATGCTAGGACACTTACTTGCAACCTGAAGTCTATGAGTGCCATGACCACAAAGCTGAGTGCAAGAGAACCTAGTAACATCTTGTTGAAGAACTGCAAGATAAATACTGCTAGGATGGATGCCACACAAATATTGAAGAGGTATTTGACCTGTGAGAAGAAAAAAGAAAGAATAAAGAACAAACAATGCTAAAAAGGGATGTAGAGGTTAATGACCCCTGAATACTCTCAGTCATACTGACAAGCCTGACACCAGGGCCTGTTTCACAAAACTTGTCATCCATAACAATTTACAATAACTGTTATAAGCTACTGAAATTGTGGCATTTGATTGGCTGAGAGCACATTTGTAATTAGCAATTCAGCATTTGTTATTGATAACAAATGTTATGAAACAGGGCCCAGACCTTCATTGTACAATAGACAGAGACAAAAAATGACATTTGAAAGTCAAAGATCTTGTCACATATAAGTCAGTTTGGACTTGGTTTGGCTGTATGACTGTGTTATAACACTTGTTCCATGACTTGGCCGCATATTATAAAGAGTTATGATTGATCTTAAGTTTGATCAGTACACGATGGGCCATAGACTTACGCTCAATATTAACTTTACGATCAATCAAAAGGCTTTATAATACATGGCCCGAAGATATATAGCAGAACTCCTTTGTTTCAGACACGTACCTTCTAAATGGACAATCATCATATTGTGAAGTCTGGGGAATACACTTTCCAATTCACCCTTGAGATGCTGGATGAAATCATCATTCTGTTTCCACTTTCGCCAACTCCCCCCCCCCCCCCCCCCCCCCTTCTCCCCTCCATGGTAAAAAATAAACCCATGGATTGAGTCATCTGATCGAATGCACGTGAACTTCATGGAAATCTGGGGGGCGTTTCACAAATTTTTTTTGTTATAAGCTACTGAAATCCTTGATTTTGATTGGTTATCAACAGATTTGTCACTGATTTTTGTCATTTGTCACTGAGAAAAGGCTTTGTGAAACGGGTCCCTGGTCTTACCTTTTTGATGGGTATGACTCCGGTAATTGCTCCTAGATACAGAGCCATGGCTTGTAGTAGCAGGATGAACTGAGCAAACTGCCATGTCAACACAAACAGAAACGTGGTGGCAGCGATCAAGCCAAGACATACCATCTGGAACACAAAAAGGGTAAAAAATACATCAAGGCATAATATTTCAATGGAAATTTAATTTGAATTGTAAAGACTTTCAAGAAAATAAATGGCCTTGTCAAATCCCCTTTTGGAATGTGCGAACACAACAATAATTACATCATCAAAACGTTATCTTTATGGGATGTACAATATTGCTTGAAAGAAAGAAGAACACCAAGACCCCGTTCTCATTCACTTCGTTGGAGCGGACTAACTAAGAACCGTTCTTCAGGAGCAGTTCTTAGGTGAGTGAGAACGGTCAAAGTAGTCCAGGAAGTGGACTTTTGGACCGCTCCAGAAGACCACCTCGGGAGGTGGTCTTGAGGAACGGGTCTTATTAAGAGCGGTTTGGACCGCTCTAACGTGCAATGTGAACGGAAGCGTACTTTGACCGGAAGTGAGCTAGTGACGTTCCGTGCGAAACATGTAGTACGGTACATACGGTTTGTATTCCGCGCGCGAAAAAATTGACCTGCTGACCTGAGCTGCCAAAGCAACAAGACCACTTTGACTCGTGGAGCGGTTTGAGCCATAAAAAACTGCTCGGAGTGTGAACGCTCGCAAACCGTTCTTCAAGACCCGTTCCTCTGGAGCGGTCTAACTAAGACCACTTTCAAAGTGAGTGAGAACGGGGTCCAAGTCACACCAAAGTCTATGGAATAATACATGCAGTCACGTGTGACACAGTGTGAGAGTGTCTACTTTATTTCAAGAAATACTGTACAATAGGACACTAAAATTTGCCTTGAATTGATTTCTCAAAAGTCTTTGCGTTTGTAGAAAAGGGTAAACATGACTTTCGTAAAGGATGTTTGAGATTGGATCAAGTGTCATTATGTGCATGAAATGATAGCAAATTGAGCGAGTGGTTGAATGCCTTTAATAAATATGATTGATTCACAACTGAAAACAAAATTTGTGAAACAGGTTTTTCTCTGAAAATTGCTGCTCTTTACAAATTTGTGAACATTTCTGGTTTTAGAGGATAAATATAACACTGTGTCAATATAGAATAGACAGTGGAAATTCATTTATATGTTGCTATTAAATCAATCTACTCTATAATGAGCACCAATTTTTTTTAAAATTGAGTATCTTTTCTACATGAAAATGAACACAGACCAAGTTTTATAGAAACAGTTTGTAATTCGTCACCGGTTTTATGAACCGGCGAACCCGTCATATATACCAATGAAAGGATTCATCTGTTCATAATAATGACTACGAATCATTAGCATTATCGGTGATTCAAGTCCTGACCTTAAATGAATGGCCATGGATGCTTAATTTTCTACCACTGCAGGCTTATGTTAACATTTAATGTACTGTGACAGGGCCATCCCATCGTATAATCATTACTTTCTATTTCTGCCGACCGACCGACCGAGTGAGCTCATCTGTTTAATGGGCTTGTGTAGGCCATTAGACATTCATCGAGTCATACTTCCAAATGGGATGTGGGGTAGGCTTTCACAGTAATTAGCTCTTATTATGACTGCAGGCAAACCCAATCAGATTTACAGTTCCAGACTTCTCTGGATGACGGAAAATGAGAAGCATATGGTCTTTCATTTTGCTAAGTACTACATGTACCTATTTTATAGAAACTCAAGAAATTAGATACGTCATATTCTTTTCAGAAAGAAACAAACTTCTTGTCTCAACTTCCTCAAGCACCAAAAAAAATACAAATTTGTATTACGCTACACTCTAAATGATAACTCGCATCTGATTCAATATTATTTTTCACACTCAAATATTGTCTCCAACAAAAAAAACAATTTTTTGTGATTTTTTGTTAATAGACTTCTCTGTCTGATGAGAAATGAAGTGTTTCTGTACAAAATAATTAAGTACAAAATATTTTTTGTATTGTACTTTGAAACACTCTACAGAGTAACCACAAAATGGCAAAAATGCAATGTCTCTGATTATTTTTAAAGGTACTATGTCCCATTTGCAGGCCAAAAAAATGAAAAAGTTAAATTCCAACTGCATTTGAAAGATAATACTAATTTAGAACTTCCCTAAAAAAGGTGGGGCTTGAAAATGTCTTGAAGTGGGAAAATAACAACTATTAGTTGTCAAATCGACTTTAGGGCTATAGAGCCCAAAAGTAATAGTCTTGATTTTCAGACAATTGTACCGAATGGTCATATGCGTTTTATGCTGCGCAAAGATTTAAAGGTACTATGTCCCTTTTGCAGCCAACCTCAAATTCTGTAGAACTTTGCAGGAATTATGAATATGTCATGTATATGTCCTATCTGTGAAATTTAAACGTTAGCAGTGTCCTAATATTCGAATTATGCAAGGAAACCTGTTTACTTGCTAGACTTCACTGTCAGACACTGTGAGTGACTGACTGGCTTTTTTTCTTCTTTGGTAATAACATACATGAAAAAAGTTGTAAAGGGTACATGAGCATTTGTTTACATCAATAACCCACTTCTTGTGATGGCCAAGATTAAACTGATTGAATCTTTGCGCAGCATAAAACGTATGACCATTTGGTACAATTGTCTGAAAATCAAGACTATTACTTTTGGGCTCTATAGCCCTAAAGTCGATTTGACAACTAATAGTCATTATTTTCCCACTTGAAGACATTTTCAAGCCCCACCTTTTTTAGGGAAGTTCTAAATTAGTATTATCTTTCAAATGCAGTTGGAATTTAACTTTTTCATTTTTTTGGCCTGCAAATGGGACATAGTACCTTTAATCAGTTTAATCTTGGCCATCACAAGAAGTGGGTTATTGATGTAGACAAATGCTCATGTACCCTTTACAACTCTTTTCATGTATGTTATTACCAAAGAAGAAAAAGTCAGTCAGTCACTCAATAATGTCTGACAGTGAAGTCTAGCAAGTAAACGGGTTTCCTTGCATAATTTGAATATGAGGACACTGCTAACGTTTAAATTTCACAGATAGGACATACATGACATATTCATAATTCCTGCAAAGTTCTACAGCATTTGAGGTTGGCTGCAAAAGGGACATAGTACCTTTAAGATAGATTAATATGCATTTCAATTGCAATATTGCATTCATTTTTTCTAGAAGATGTCAAATAATACTTTTAAAAGTTCAGGGATAGGGTCCATCATAAAGAATGATGAAGGTATGGTGTACATGTAACTCACTGGATTTAGCCATTAACTGGCAATAAACTCAAGATTGGGACATGGGTTCAGTAATAATAATCCACTTTCTTCCACTTAATAGGAGAAAATGAAAGAAAAATATGTTTTGGAAGAGCCATGCCATGCTAGTTCAGAGTGTTTCCAAGTTAGTGATGCAACTATCACTTTCAATCTAAAATTTGACTTTAGACCGAGTTTGACAACCTCCTCAGAATCTTCAACTCTCTTTGTCAGTTCACATTTAAAATAAACTTTAGATTTTTATTTCAAAAAGATAACAAGCACAGGGTGTTCCATAAAAGATAAAAGAACAATAATAGAATAATAGAAGCAAGATTTAGATTTTTACTCTTTGAAGCGTTTACCTTTTTATAAAACAATACTTTCATGAGCATGTTTGAGTCAATGCATGAGCATGTTTGGGCCAACATATAAAGTATACACTTTATCATAGCAAATTCATAGATTTTTTTTCTGTACTAAACCTTTCTGGTGACAAAATGGGCATTATCCCATTTCCACATTTTTTCCTCTCAACCCAATTTCAAATCCCGCCCAACCACGAAATAAACGTGCCTGGTTTAATAAAAGTTTGAAGGTATCAAATGTACGAGACAAGTGGCTTTGAATGATCTCTGAATATAATGCACTCTTTCAACACTGTGTGTTATGTTGAATTTATCCTGGGCTGTGTGAAAGCCAGATTTGGGAGTATTAAAAAAAAGAAGATAAAATCACTGATATGAAAAACATGTTCATGGGTCTACATTCATTTTTTCTTTATCTTTCTTTGTTTGAGGGGGGGGGGGGGGCAGAACTAGATGCCATATTCAAATTTACAACTGGAAAAAAAAATCCATAAAATGCAATAGTCGACCAAACATCTTTCAAAACTGATTCAGCTCAGGTCTTTATATAATTCATTATACACAGGTTGCAAGAGTGAAAATATGTATACCTATATGTATGTGTTGCCAATTTGAAGAGGCAACGCTGATTCATATAACCTCTGGATAATTCCTGTCTCTCTCTAGGCCCGTCTTCATCATCTCGAGATTGCCAAATAGCCCGCTATTTCGGATTTGGGAAATAATCCCGAAGTAACAAATCGCATCTTCACTACCTCGAGATTCGACCTTGAAACTTGAACTCGACCTTGAAAAATTAGCTTGAGATATTTTGCTCAGCGTTAGCGCGTATTGCGAATCTTCGGTCTAGTGAAGATGCACGGGACAAATAGCTGGATTTTTTGCCAAATAATGGGATATTTTACAAACTATCCCAAGATATCTTGGGATGACAATCCTGACCAAATATCCCGCTAATTGCTACTTCGGTCTGATGAAGACGCAAATTAGCTGGATAGTTTGCGATCGGGATGGTTCAAATAGCTGGATATTTGGCAATCTCAAGATGATGAAGACGCGCCTCATATGGGACAGACATACAACTCCAGGTCCTCCGTTACCTCCAGTATTTCAAATCGATCGCTGAAGATGCTTTGATTGAGTCATCGGCCTGTCAAAACTATGCGGTTTGAGCTCAATGGGCCATGTAACAGTCCCAAAGATAAAAAAAACTTGAATTGAACTTTAACTCATTCATGACATGCATCATAGGGCCTGTGCCTTGTTCACACAATCAAAAATGTATATGAAACAGCTAGCCAATCGTTAGTGAACACTCTGATATCTATCTATCTACGTATCTTCTCCCGGTTCGGAGGTTGATTGCAACATCTCTCCATTTCACTCTATCTTCTGCCATTCTGGTGCACTCTTGCAGTTTTAGTCCACTCTAGTTCTCGACATTCTCTTCCCAGTTGACTCTGGGTCTCCCTCTCGGTCTACATGTACTTCCTTCTACTCATTTATATAGTTTTCACATGATACGATGTTCACATCAAAGTGGATCCTAATTTTGTTAATCAATTAAGTTCTCATTTGAAGTGATACTCGAAATTACATGTACATGATATCATGTTCAGACACAACATTTTTTAAAACTATTGTATAGCTACATGTACATGGTTTTTGTATAGCTTTATAATCAATTTTGCCAGTCTGAATGCTCAGGGATATATTCATCATCTACTGAGTGCCAGAAGGGTGTTAACTCTAAGTAACACATATTAAATGAGTTAACCTCTTGGCTACTGAAATTTCTCATTTCCATAGGCTTAATACAGAGACCACCAGGGGGGGGGGGGGGGAGGTTCCACAAAACTTGTCATCAGTGACAAATGACAGTTTTTTTGTTACAATCTACTGAAATCCTTGCTTCTGATTGGTTATCAGCAGATTTGTCAATGATTTTTGTCATTTGTCATTGTAAAAAGGCTTTGTGAAACGGGTCCCTGGTTCCAGTAGAAAATGAGTTAATAAAGAAGGCCTTTCAGGCTTTCAGCAGTCCATATCAAAGTTAATGTTTTCATAGAATGTCTGATGACTACATGGATATGTAAATTGGCTGAGTCATGGTCTAGATGAATTGTATACAAATGAAGATATATGAGCCGTATTATAAATAATGTATGTAAAATGAGTGGCCAAATTTGTTACTTCATACACTGCAACAAAGTTTGTACTTGTGAGCTGGCATTGGCTAGAAGGATAATGTATTTTGTTTCTTCTTTTATCTCAACTTGGAAATAAGAAGTAAAATAACAACAAAACATAAATGATTAAATTAGAAAACCAAGGTCTTTATAATGAAAAAGGAAAAATAGTGACTGAAAAAGGAAAAATAGTGACTGAAGAGAAAAATGATGAATTGGAAGATCTCCCCCACAAAGAGAAATCTGGGGGACCTTACTAAAACTACATCTGGCTTGAATGGAATCTGTCTTAAATACAAATGGTGCTTCGATAACCTTGAAAGATATGATTACTCTATAAAAGATCAAGGGTGCTTTCAAGCGACACTTTTTCACTCTATGAACGTGGTTTTCAAAGACGTTTAGTTTAAAACACGGTTGCGTTCAAGCAATTTTTTTTTCGTCCGTCAAAAAAACAAACGTGTTTGAAAATGCAAACATGAAACGCTGAAAAAGGTGCGGTTTGTAACGTGATTCTGCAAAATCGCCGTCGCTAAACATCGCTTGAATGCAACAGAGATCTCAATCATGATTCTGTGACATCATTATCGTGGCCTGCTTCTGGTTTGGCCGACAGTCGACCGTAATCAAATTCAGATGGGCACACCAAAGCTGACCTATACTTCCTAGGTCAAACTGTGCAGTGTGATGTGCAGTGGCTGGGCTTGAAATGAGCGAGAATCAGCGTTGATGGAAAATCGCTTGAACAATCTCCTGCAGATTTGTGATCCATGTTTGTGATTCTAGCTTTAAAAAATCGCTTGAACGCACCCCAAGACACTTGGCATCTGATTTGACCAAATGTTGATCTTATGAAATCAGAGTAAAGGTTTTTGCTGGAGGTGGTAGGACTGTTGCACAAGGCCTGTCTTCACTATCTCGCGATTGCCAAATATCCAGCTATTTGAATTATCCCGATCGCAAACTATCCAGCTAATTTGCGTCTTCATCAGACCGAAGTAGCAATTAGCGGGATATTTGGTCGGGATTGTCATCCCAAGATATCTTGGGATAGTTTGCAAAATATCCTACTATTTGGCAAAATATCCAGCTATTTGTCCTGTGCGTCTTCACCAGACCGAAGACTCCCACACTATGCGCTAATGCTGAGCAAATTTCGAGCTAATTTCTCAAGGTCGAGTTTCAAGTTTCGAGGTCGAGATTATTTCCCAAATCAGAAATAGCGGGCTATTTGGCAATCTCGAGATGATGAAGACGCGCCTCCAGATGTGAGAATCAAAGCTATCCCATGCAGGTACTGCAGTATTCTGTTATTGAACCACATGTATGCAACTCAAAGAAATCTGATGAAAACTTTAGGTCTTAAAACTACTAAAATGGGCTTCAACTTGAAGGGAATTTGTTGAAAATAATTCATGCAGCTTGAATAACCTTGAAAGAGATCTATTAAGGTCACGACACTGCTATCATATTTGGACTCAGTGTTGATCTTGTGAAATCAGAGTGCAGGTCTTCGCTTGAGGTGGTAGATCTGTTTCACTTAATACAGGTGAGAATCAAAGCTTTCCCATGCAGGTAAGGTATAGTCTGCAAGCACAGGCAGGCAATAGTCTGACACTTAATCAAAATACACTTCATCTCTAGTCAACCTAAAACACTTTCACAAGGGTTGTGGCAATTAATTCATTGCTTTGTGACAATTTACATTCACCTAAAATGCAATTAAATTGCAATATGTAGTTGGGAGAATTTGGGAATCAATCAGATCAGTTTTCATCAATCGTTATCATTAATAATGGTCTGTTTTTGCTCAAACTTGCAGATTATCTTTAATTGTACACCTATCATCAAAGTCACTACCTTAGCACCATTTCTCTCATCTGAACAATGTCATACCAAGTCTCTTGAATAAGAAAAAAATGGGTGAAACAAAGGTGAAAATATATAATAATAAGCTTGTGAGCTTGCACAAGCTTGCACGCTTCTCTTTTCTGATTGCCTGAAAAGCTGCCTCCTTTGCATATTTGGAACCTTGCAAGCTTGCAACAAGCTTGCATTTTACCAACTTGCGAGCTTGTGCAAGCTTGCAGATTTTTCGACATGCAAATATGTTTCCTCTGTCCTGATTGGCTGACAGATAATCTCATTTGCATTTCTGGAACCGTGCAAGCTAGTAAGGGTGTTTCCATAAGGGTTGTTTGCACATAATGATACATGTACATGTATGTTGGGCAGCATGTAAACAGGAAGGCAGAGGAACTTACCTGTTTATGAATAACTGTGGGTCTGAGGTAATATGTAATGACTGCCATCTGCATGTAAAGGAATGGCAAAGAAAAGCTTTCTCTCAGAGGTATTGTGTAGTCAACTCTTGTTGCATTCCCCCTAGGGTAAAACAAAAAAGGAAGAAGAAGATATAAATTAAAAATATATATTAGCACATTGAAGTGGCATACAATTTATGAGAGGAAAATTTTGTTGAATGTACCTTATTTTATAAGACAATCCAAAATGACATAAAGGGGCAAGGGTTTGTGAAAAAAGAAGAAGAAGAAGAAGAAGAAGAAGAAGAAGAAGAAGGCAAAGCAGGAGAAGGAGAAGGGGAAGAAGGAGAAGGAGGAGAAGTAAGAGAAGGAGAAGGGGAAGAAGAATTAGGAGAAGGGAGAAGAGAGAGAGAGAGAGAGAGAGGGGAGGGAGGGAGGGAGGGAAATGTCCAACCCAAAGAACTAGAGCATGATCGATTTTACAAGCCATTGAAACATATTCAGAGTTAAGGAAAAATGTTCATATAATTTTGGAAAATAACCAATAGATTAATATTTCAATTTTCATTGAAGAAAAAAAAGGTTACAAGAGCTGATAACTGGGTAATAGAAGGCGATGAATCACAAAGGTACATGTAAAAGGGGCATAAACATAGATCTGCAAACTTTTAGCATTTTTTGTTGTTGTTGCGAGTTCAAGCAATATACAAAACAAAATACAAAGACCTATCTCTTATCAATAATTCAGAATGACTTCATAGATATTTTCCTCCTTCGAATGCAGTCTCATTACCAGGGGGTGTTTCACAAAGATCTGAAGTTGAACTTATCTCTAAGTTGGACTTAACAATTATGGAAATCCGTTAGCATCTTAAACTTGTTTTAATAAAAGTTATTTTAAAAGGCATAAAATGTTGATTCAAATCATTCATACTTTCTATTATCAAGGAGATTTCATGTTCTTGATGTGGAATTTATGAAAAGTCTAAAATACTTGAATAATACTTTTGAATAAATTTTAAATTAAGACTACGAATGGCTCTCCATAATATGTAAGTCCAACTTAGGATCTTTGTGAAACACCCCCCAGAATTAACAATTTAAATATGCCTAAACTCACTTGTTAGCGATGAAGAAAGTACATGCCAGTAACCCAGAGAGCCAGGAGTTACTGAGAAGCCATGCCATGGCAAAGATAGTCGTGAAGTAGACTCCATGGAGAGCAAACACAGACTTGATGTAAAAAAAGATGGGTAAATATGAACTCTGAAAGAGATAAGAAAGAGAAAAAGAAAAAGACCAATATATTCAATCTATATAAATCATTATCATCATGTATACCAAAGCAAATTTGCCAGAAAATGAACCAAGCATACTTACTGACTGAGCCTTTCTGCTTATGTAAAGTAACATTATCAGTCCTAAAAGGAACATTATAGTCCCTGAGTAAAGGAATAAAGTGTTAAAAAAAGACTTAATTGATTTTTCTCCTTGGTTTCTTTTGTTTCTATAATATCAAATAAAGGAAGAGGCAGAAACAGCCAGAAGTTATGTTCTACATGAATAATATAATTTTTAGAGAAATATTTCAATCTGTGTTTGGCTATTCTTGCCTTTCTTGTTATCAACAATATTAAAAATGGTACCTAATACCTTTAATTTTTCTGTTACCGGTAATTGTGAAAATTGGTCTTTTTATGAGTTTTCAAACTGAATAATCAAATTTATGAACTTACCTGATTAAAAGGAAATATTCTGTACACCAGTGCAAGAAAGATCTCTTGATAAATGTTGAATCTTTGAAGTACATTGATGGTCCTCCAATTTTCTGTTGTGTTATCGTTTGTGATTTCATAAAAACCTGCAAAAGACATGAAAAATTTAAAGGTAAAATATCATGAATTAAACTAGAAAAACACACATCAATAGCACAGTGATTGGGGTAGCTGTAAAAATGGAGCTAAACAAAAGCTTACGCTTCAATAAAATATTTACAAGGGTGCTAGGAGTGAGTTATAGAAAACTTTGAAACTTACATGTATCCCCCCAAAATGCAAGTTTACTCTGAAACTGTTCTTGAATTTGAAAAAAAAAGGGGGGGGGGGACAGGGGTATTGAAAACCTTATTTAGAAATTAATATATTAACGGAGGGTCTTCTAGAATTTGAAAGCTATATGTCCCAGCTCCGCTTGGCAGCCGTGACCTTTCAAAGAGACCCAGATTTGATTCCTCGACAGCGTTCAAGCCCAAATCAGATCACAATATTTCTTTTTATTGACGATGACAATCTAATTCACACATGTGGAAAGACCTCTCCGATTTCATCCATATTGTTCTTATAAGGGACACAAAATGATGACCTTGTGAACAATCTTTCAACTTTCCCCAATTGTTCACGCTCACTCAGAAACTCTATCCCGTGAAGTTAAAGCTGCTTTCAATCTTATTTTTTACTTTCCTCTCTGCCCTCGAAGAAAGGAAGAGAAGTACATCCATTTTAAATTGAATCAAATCATTCATTTCCACTTTGAAAACTTATCACATACCGGTAGATCCTTGAATGTTTATTGGGTTAGATTTATAAGGGTGGGATCATGAGAAAAGGGCAGCTTGTTGAAAATAAAATTACTTTTCTCACTTGTGTTTTGTTATTCTTTATAAAACTTCTGATTCATGGTTATTTTTGATCATGAATATAACACATCAATCCTCCCTCTCTCTCACATGGTGCACCCGCAAGCCTACAAACATATCATTTGTTTGGAACCAGAAAGGCTTTAACTCTTTAATACTCTGTGACAGAGTTAACACCCTTCTGGCTCTGAACAGATGATGTGTTTCCTAAATAGCAGATACGATGGCAATCGATCACTGTAATGAATCCTTAAATCAGACAAGGTATTTATCCAAACTACAGGATAATCAGCTGAGGAGAGGGTGCTCTGTGCTATCTACTTGGAAAGGCGACTAGGTACCGGTAGCAGCAAACATGGGAATGAATATACTTTGGAATATCAGTAGGTATGTCATCTTCAGCTCAGCCTGCTATTTCTGATTTGGGAAATAAGCCTGAAGTTACAAATTGCGTTCGAGATATTTTGCTCAGCATTCATGCATAGTGCGAGCCTTCGGGCTGGTGAAGACGCACCAGATAAATAGCGGGATATTTTGCTAAATAGCGGGTATCTTGGGATGATTTCCTGAGCAAATAGCCCGCTATTTCATGATTCAGGCTAATATCCAGGATCAGAAATAGCGGGCTATTTGGCAATCTCAAGCTGATGCAGACAAGCCATTTAACTTCTAGTGGGTCGGATGGGTGTGAATATGTCCCAGATGATAATGAAGGATGTTATTCAGACTTGTTTCCAATTAATCTTATACCCCTAAAACTACAAAAAATACTTTTTCATGACTGACTGACAGGTCTGAAAATGCCATCTGAGGTACTGGGAGAACTCTGTAAAAAACAGAAACTCTTGCAACATTAAAAACTCCTATTTTTTCGTAATTCCTTTATTGCACCACATGAAGCTTTCATGAATCTAAACCTCCGCGCAAAATGTGTAAAACATTCTGGTTTCACAGTATTTAAAGCCTGTCTGCACTAGTTTGGCCAGGTGGGATTAGACCTCCCTGCATGGTCACTGACAGGTGGTTATCTCATCAAATCAGCTCTTAATGAACATAATAAAAAGGGGATCATGGGGGACCAATGGGTACTGCTTTATAGGCATTGTTTTTCTATATAGAGGGCGCAAGTAAGTGCAGTCCTCCAACCGAACAAAAAGAGCTCTGTTTCATACTTTCAACTCCTGGCTTTAAAATCAATAGACACATTCCAATCACATGGGTGAAAGACTTTGCAGAGTGAACACTCGACTCTAGAGAAATCACAAGATACCCGATTGATACTCTACAAGGAATGCATGTCAATCTACAACAAGAATTCACTCGGATGACAAGAGATTCCAGCATTCCACGTGTGTGTATATCCCTTCTCTTTTTACCCCAAATGACAGAGGTCTGTAATTGGAGTATTTTTCTCATCATGGTCATGATCATAGTGTCTTACGAGAGCTAAAAGGGCATAGGTTTGTACAACAGTGTATTACTTAATGCCATTTTGACTCTTGGCTGATGATACATGATAGACATAATATGCGTCAGTTTTTTTTCTCATGATCATGATCATATTGTCTAATGAGAGCCAGAAAGATGTTAGGTTTGTACGAAAGTGTGTTACTTAAGGCCCTTTTTACTCTTACATGTACATGTAGCTGATGATACATGATAGCCATATCTTATGAATCTTTATTTTTCCCATCATGATCCTATTGTCTTATGAGAGCCAGAAGGGCGTTAGGTTTGTGCGACAGTGTATTACTTAATGCCTTTCTGACTCTTAGCTGATGAAACATGATAGCCATATCTTATAATTCAGTATTTTTCTCATCATGGTCATGATCATACTGTCTAATGAGAGCCAGAAGGACATTAGGTTTGTGTGAAAGTGTATTACTTAAGGCCTTTCTGACTCTAAGCTGATGATACATGATAGACATATCTTAAGAATCAGTATGTTTCTCATCTTGGTCATGATCGAATTGTCTTATGAGCGCCAGAAGGATGTTAGGTTTGTGCAAAAGTGTATCATCTAATGCCTTTCTGACTCTTAGCTGATGATACATAATAGCCATATCTTATGAATCAGTATAGTTCTCATCATGATCATGATCATAATGTCTTATGACCGCCAGAAGGATTTTAGGTTTGTGCAGAAGTGTATCACTTTAATGCCATTCTGACTCTTATAGCTGATAGACATATCTTATAAATCATGTTAATCGTTACATAGAGAACAAAGGTACATAAAGAAGGGGGAAAGAGAACTTGATACAGTAACAGACAGACTAAAATGTAGTAAATTTAATTTAAAAATTTGAAAATCAAAATAGATTTGATTACATGAATTAAAGTGTACGTACATGTAAAACATGTAGGTGTTTCTGTGCACATGCATTACTTTACAAATGTGTCATGTATACGGTAAACATGTGTATTCATCATATTACATTTGCTCCGAAAAAAATGTAGAGCTCGCTACTGTATTGAATTTCATGCTTTGTACACAAAAGAATATCTTTTCCTTCCTTTAGATCTGTCTTTCTTAGACACCTATCATGCTTCAAAACGTTGAATTGAATTGAAAATGAAACACCTTTACGCTTCATGCTGATTGCACCTGTTCATGTTCACTCTAAGTGTGTGAACAAACCTGTGGGAGGCTACACAATACATCAGTGCACCAGAGTAAACAAAATGTCCTACAATGTAGCTGTTTTATGAATGTTGCGATAGATACAAATCAAATACAGGTCCTCAAATCAATCATTTTGTAATGTAACCAAATTAATTGCATACATACATGTACGTCTTTGAGAAGTGCCTCAATACAAATATTTCATTCACCGGTAATGAATAATTGTATTTCAATAGTCAGAATACAAAATGCATATATTACTGTACATGCTGTTAGGTACATATAGGGCAAGCCATAATGTTTGTCCTACCTCGTAACAACTAATGTTTGTAGTTCGCATTCTATAAGCTATTGAAATACAATCATTTGTAACAGTTGAATGAAATAATTCATATCGTCAATTGAGGCATTTCACAAAGACGCATGCATTAAATTTGGTTACATATTGCAAAGTTACAACTGTTCATTATTTCCTACCTGCTACGTGTATCGAGCTGTGAGAGATAGCAAACTCAAGTAGATCTAATAACAAACTTGCTTTTAAAGACAGGACCTTGTTAAACAAAGTTTCAAAGTTTTACCTAAGGTATCTCTAGCACAAAGTCACAAAAAACAATTTTGCAAATGTATCAATTTTATTAACTCAATGAACTACTATGTAGTGATAACCTTTAAAATTTGTAACAGGTCGATCACACATACTGTAGCAACAACTAATGTACACATTTATGGCTACTGAAATATAAAAGCTTTGTATTAGGTGAATGTGAGAGTTGGGTCTTTGTGAAGTCTCCATGAAACTTGTGTTCAAGCTGACCCTGAACTTGTCTGACATAGCAACAAATGATAGAACAGCTCACAGGTACTACTACATGTATATTCCCATTTTGAAATTGAAATTGAAATTGAATTGAAATTTATTTCCATCATCATGACAATATATACAAAGAGGGATATGGAATTTCATAACATGTAACAATATCAAAACTATACATAAATTGACATAACAGCATTCAAAATATAAAGAAAATATGAAGGTTTAAACCATAGTACAAATGGAAAATGGTGCATTTGTAAAAGCCAGTAAGGCTTGACAATTGAATGCACCAGGTGCAGAAGTAATAATAACATATACTTGGAAGAAAAGAAAAAAAGAAAAGGAAAACAGAAGGGGAGTATTAGTAATATAGGTGTGGTCTTAAAATAAATTATGCGTTATAAAAAGAGAGAAGATATTTCTTGTAAAGTCTTTAGAAAGAATTATTAAATCTGACAGATTGAGAAAAAACAAAAAAATTGTAAAGATATATGTGGGCCTTTTCTTCATTGGCTGCTTCATGACTACCGGTACATATATATATATATATATATATATATATTCAATTAGGTTTGACTGACATATCAATAACTGACTGACATATCAACAACCGATAGACCAGGTTAATATGCCTTTAAATTAGAATGCTTATTCCTTATTGTTTGGATAATGACTGTGACAAGTAGTTGGAATCATACAAAATTGCAGACTGCTACAAAGAATATACTTGCAGTTGGCCTTGATGGGGCACAGAAATAGACATAACAAGGAATTGTTTTT